CCTCATGCCTCTCCCAAGGCCTGCCTGCCCTTCCTCTCAACTGTGTGGCGAAACAGGTACAAATCCCATTGCAGGATCAGGACAGGGAGGCTCAAGGACATTAAGCTGACCACCACTTCCTCCACCCCCGCCCCACAGCCACACTCCACCTCCGTCACCGCACGTACCATGCTCCTGGATGGTTCGTTTCAGCTCTGAGGACAGGAGCTGCATCTAATTTGTGTTAGTTGTCCCAACAAACATTCACAAAAACCTTGGTAGGATGAACAAAATGTTTGCCTGAGGTCAAACAGCTAGGAAGCAGCAGAGCCATAATTTATACCCAGATCTTCCTGTATCCCAGCCTGGCCCCACATCCTTCACCCTCCTCCAGGAAGCCTTCCCTGACTGAGTCAAGGCAGCTTCCCCTTCCCTACCCCCAGAATCCTGGGGGATTGGGTGTGCTCCTATCTCCAGCACCCCTGCATTCCCTGAAGGCAGGGACTTGGGATGAGGTCTCAGCCTGGCTGGGATCCCCCCAACTCTGCCCCCAGGAGCCCAGGAAGAGCTCTGAATGCAGATGCCCAGGCCTCAGGCATATCAATGATGTCTTCCTGCTTGTGGGCTCACCCACCCCGCCTCATCGCCCTGCTCGTTGGGCCATAATTCCACCTGGTACTGGGCCTGCCCGCTTCTCCCAAGGGCCGGCCCAGGCCTTGGTATTCTCTCAGGGTGGGTCTAGGTGGGGCACCTAATCCTCTGCTCATTCTGCTGGAATTCAATACCGGCCTCCACTATGCACGCTCTGCTGCCCTCCTCCCTGCCTCCTCCCGCTTCTACCAGGGGGAAGGGGGACTGTGTCTTCTCCACAGCTCTTCTGAGGGTCCCTTGAGCTGCTCTCACCCCCAGGCCTGCCCCAGAATGAGCACTGGCCTTGGGATGGAGGGACCACTGCTGAGGGAGCAAGGCTTGGTGACCAGCAGCCTGGGGACTCTGGTTGCCCCTTCTAGGCTGCCCTGCCATGGAATCCAAAGCCACTCAGGCTCTCTGAGCTTCCGTGTAAACATGAATAAAAGCACCTGCACATGGCAGGTGTTAACGAATAAGAGTTGAGGCTGCCCCAAGGGCTGAGGGCGCTGCAGCTCTGGGAAGTCCTCTACCATATCTGATCACCCACCTTCTGGCTACAATGTTGACTCATTCTCTTTGGTTCCAGTTGATGGGTGTCTGCTTTCTTGGGGTTTTAGGACACTTGAAATAGTTCATTGTATTTATTGATTCATACAACAGATATTTATTGAGCATCAACCATGTGCCAAGCACGGGTCTAAACTTTTGAGATACGTCAGGGGTCAAAACTGACGGATCCTCAGCCTAGTAGGGCCTGCAGTACGGAGTAGTCTAACCAGTCTGTGGGGCCGTCTATTAGATGGCCCCTCGCAGCCTGTTCTCCACTTTAAACAACCCAAGCAAAAAGAGATGAAATTGCAAATATTGAAAAATAACAATATGTGCTGTCAGATGTCATCTTCATCCCATCTTACCACCACTGTGTGAATCTAAATAATGCAATTAAAAGTGTGTGCTGTTGTTTAAAAACTCAAATGTATATGACCCCACAATTTTACTCCTAGACTTGAAATCAAAAGTTCAAACCTTACCTTGTACACTCATGTTCATAGCAATGTTAGTCACACTAGGCAAAAGGTAGGAAAAGAACAAATGCCCGCCAATAGATGACTGGATGAACAAATTGTGCTCTATCCACATGGTGAAACATTACTCAGCCATAACAAGGAACGACGTGCTGATACACAGCACAATGTTGACGAACTCTGAAAACATCACACTAAGTGAAAGACACCAGACACAAAAGGCCACATAGTGTGTGATTCCTTTTAGACAAAATGTCCAAAGTAGGCAAATCCATAGAGACAGAAAATAGATGAATGGTCAGGGCTGGGGGAGGGAGGAGTGAGGAGGGAGTGCCTCATGGGCACAGGGTTTGGTTTTGGGATGATGAAACTATCCAAAGTAGGTAGTGGTGATGGTTGTAAAACATCGTGAATTTACTAAATGCTATGAGCTGTACGCTATGAGAGGGTTGAAATGGTAAATTTTGTGTTATGTTACTTTACAATTTTAAAAAAGTGTGTGCGGTGCGATCCTTGGTCACACTGGATTTCCTGTCCTGTGTATCACCCCTGCTTCCCCACAGGGCCTTTGCACATGCTGCTCCTGGGGTACAGGACCCGTCTCTCCTCTCTTTGTTGACACATCTTTGTCCTTCAGATCTCAGCTTAGCCATCACTTCCTCAGAGGGGACCAAGTCCCTCGGTTACATGCTCAGAGTGTCAGGTTCCACCCTTGTCTTGGTCATAATTATGACATTTATATGGCGAATGTCTCCCTCACTGAACTGTAAGCTCCGGGAGGAACTTGTGTATGTTTTTATTCCCTGAGCCTAGCTCAGTGCCTGGCACCTTGTAGGTGCTCGGTAAGTATTTATTGAGTGCATAAACTAATAGATGTGCCCAAGGGAATTGCGAGAGTCACTACCCCCAGCAGCCCCATCTCAAACATTTCCCCATCACTGTTGCCGTCGAGCCCTCATCACTGCACTGACCAACCGCACGACAGGCCCGGCTGGGGCCGACAGAGGCCGAGATGGCAGCACGGAGGAGCTGCGAACTCACAGGCAGGTGGGAGGCAAGACAAAGTCGAAGGGCGAAGTCTGGATGGATGACTGTGTTAGGATGGGAGACATCAAGCGTCAACGGGAGCAGTTGTCTGAGTTGGAAGTGGGAACGAGAGTCACGTCAGTGCTGCATGGTGGGCTCTCCAGGAAATGCTTGTTGAGTGACTACGTGAGCGGATAATGTGCAGAACGTGCAGGGTAAGTGCCTGGCCCATAGCAGAAGCAGAACAATGGATTCTGGCATATTGAAGAGGACCTTCTGGGGGCTGGAGGGTGGTTGGACTGGGTTTGGGGCAGGGGGAGCACAGAGTGACTCCAGGTGTGCGGCTGGGCCCTGCTGCCCTCTGCTGAGATGGGGAGCACTGCGGGAGGAGCAGGCCTGGGAGAAATGGTAGCATGAGCTCTGGAGGTTCTGGTGTTGAGGTGCTTCTGGGACGGGCCAGAGAAGGCTCCGGGGAGCTGCAGAAGCCAGAAGGCGGTGGGTAGGAAGGGAGGGGAGGGAGGCAGAGGGGAGGGTGGGGGTTCCCGAGATTACGGGTGGGCTGAGGACGTCAAGGGTGGAGAGGGAGGCAAGAGGAGGATAACAGATGGCGCCCAGGGAGGAGGGAGGAGCTGGGCTGCACAGCACAGGCTTGGCCCAGCCAGGAGGAGGAGGGAAAGCAGGCGCGTGTGTGCGTGTGTGTGTGAGCGTGTGTGCGTGTGTGTGTGTGTGTGATGCTGAGATGTGAAGGGGGCGGCCGGCAGTGGCAGGAATTTCCATCTTGGGCTTCTGCCTTATTTGTGAATGAGGAGGAGGGGCAGCTGCTGGGAGTGGGACTGGGGCTGGGGGCCCCAGGGACAAAGCAGGGCACTTGCAATAGCTGCAGTGGGGGACAGAGAGGGCGGGCAGGGGCAGTGGGGACGGCCTGTTTGAGGACTGATACCAGGACCTGCAGGCGGGCTTGCTGTTCTTCAGGGGCACACGGCCCAGGCTGCCGCCGTCCCTCCACCTGGGGGTGCTGGGTGGGTGTCATGGCAGCTGGGCGGGGTGGCCTACAGGGAAGGGAGTGAAAGGGGCTTGGTGGCCGTGGGGGGAGAAGGAGGGGGCCTGGAGGCCAAGGTGAGGCGGACTCCGGGACAGGCGGGTGGGAAGCAGAGGCAGAGGCACAGAGGGATGCCGCTGGAGAGCAGGGCGTTTCATTTGAGCTTTGAGATGTGCAGGCATTTTAGGAAAGACGAGCTCCAGGATGTGGCAGAGGGAGGACCTGACTGAGATGGGGCAGGGGTGGCCTTTGGAGCTGAGAAGGCGAAGGAGCAGAGCTGGGCTCGAGGGCGGCCAGGAGGTAGAGGGGGTTTGAGGAAGAGGCTGAGGCTGCCCAAGGACTGTGCAAAGAGTGTGGAGGGACAGAAGGAAGAGGACACAGAGAGAGGAAGGAGAGCAGGGAAAGGCTAGATGGCCGCACAGGCCCACGCCTTGGATGGCATAGCTGGACACAAGGTTTCCAGAACAATCCCCTCAGCAGGTCCCTGGGGACGCAGGCCTGGGGACACAGGCCTCTCAGAAGGGGTCGGCCACAGCAGGGTTGTGTTTCTGAGGACTCTAGCTCTGGTCTCTGGCCCCAGGGATGCTCCTTTCATTCAGGCCTTCAGCATCTCTTGCTAAGATCCCCAGAGCAGCCAACCCACCCGTCCCCTGATCGCAAGGCCCTCTCCCCAGCTGGTCTGTTCCCCAGGCTGCAGCCGGAGTAAGGGCAGCACCCCAACCTCCCTCAGATAAACCTAGCCCCCTGGTCTCTCAGCTTCCTCTGCACACAGGCCACACCTGGATTCCTCCACCTCACCTGCTGTCCCTGCGCCCTCTCGCCTCCAGGCTGTGCACAGGTGGCTGTGACTTCCTGAAAGGCCTTCTCCACCCTTCTGGCTGGCTCCCGGCCCCCACCTACTCTTCCTCCAGGAAGCCTTCCCTGATGAACCAAGACTGCCCCTCCCGAGTGTTCCTAGAGTACTCTTGGCTTCCTTATCACAGAGCTGTCACGGCACTGGGATCATCTCCCCCCGGCTGCCTTCCTCACCATGGGTACAGAGCTGGTCTTGGGTCTCCAATGCCTGGCCCACATGGATGCTCAATAAAAATGTGCTGAATGGGCCAGGCATGGTGGCTCACACCTGTAATCCCAGCACTTTGGGAGGCCGAGGTGGGAGGATCGCTAGACGTCCGGAGTTTGAGGTTGCTGTGAGCTATGGTCACACCCGGTGTGCTCTAGCCCAGGTGACAGAGCAAGACCCTGCACGCCCCAACGCATTCAATAAAAAATGTGTTGGATGAATAGGCTAGTTTGTTGAATTGGGCTGGGCTGGGCTGAGCTGCAGGGGATCTATTTAGTTCGGATGGACAGTGTCTTGTTCCTTTTCTTCAATGGTCTTCCTGGACAGTTGCTCTGGAGCAGAAAGACTAAGTGTCAGGAATGGATCAGAATTCCCTGGAGGGCTTTTGGCAATATGATTGTCCACCTGCCTGGAGGCCACACTGTCTCAAGTAGGTATGGGAGTGCAGAGGGGGCACACACTCTGAGAAAGCTCCCAGGTGACACTGACCCTGCCCTCCCCCCAGGCCCCCAGCGGGTTCCCACTATTCCAGGCTGAGCTCCTGGCTGCTCTCGTGATGACAACCACCCTGGGATGCAAACCAAAGACTTCTGGACGCTGGAGCCCCTGCACCTCACCACCCCACCATGCTGTCCATGCTGCCCACCACGGCCACTGCCAGCCCCACCTCGTGACTCAGACCACTGCTGCCTACCGTCGTGGGCGTCCCACCATTGCCCTCCTCACAGGGCCTTTTACTCCACCGCCACCAGGGCCACACACGGTCAGAACCCTTCCTGCAGAAGCCCACCCCCTCTCCCACCAGGGGCTGCCAGTCATGCTTTCGCATCCACCAGCGGTGCGGCTGCCTAAGGGGAGGCTGGGCTCTGGCTGGGCTCCTGTCCTCGGGATTCGTCTTTGTCCCAGAGATCAATGCCAATGTCCATGCTCATGGCTGCTCTTGATAGCCCCTGCGGAATCCCACTGTAAGGACCATAGGGTGTGTGTGTTTGTGTGTGTGTGTGTGTGTGTGTGTGTGTGTGTGTGTGTTTCTGATAAAGGGTCCAAAACTGTCACCAGGTTCTCCCAGGAACGTTGAGACTCTGCGCATGTGCCCACTTCACCCCTCAGAGAGCTCCTTTCCCACTAAAGCACAATTCCCACAATTCCCACACAGCTGTCCTACTTCCCCACCCCCACCCTGGCACAGCCTTTCTCAAGCGCTTTGTCTTTCCTGTGCTGAGGTTTCCACCATCCGCCTTCTCCACCAGAATGTCAGCCCCCTGAGCACAGGGCACAACCACTCACCCCTGTTTTCTAGAGCTGCGCTGGCCCGTAGCACACGCTCAAAGCCTGTTTTCTATAACCAAACCATCTGTCTCGTGTGTCACATTGTTCCAGAAATTGCTCCTCTTTCAAGAAGCCCACCCAGATGGGCAAGCAGGCAAGCATTTCTTCATCCTAAGGTGACAGCTTGGGGGCTTCACCCCTCAATCTCCTCCACACCCCACTGTGTGAAGGCCCCTCGCTGTGCCTTGAAAGCTGTGAAAATGGACCAGATGCTAGACTGATCGGCATTCTTCATCTGCGACTTCCAGTTATCTGCCCCAGGCACATCCAAATATCCGGCCAAGCCTTCCAGGTATTTTGATACCAAGTCCCAAAGTCTCTGCAGGCTCATTGCATACCACCCGCACCCCACCCCAGCTGCATCCCTCTCCCTTCCCACCTCATCCCCCTAGGGAATGTCTGGCTACTTCATTCCTAGAGAGGTGATCACCTGGGTCCCCTGCATACCTTTTACTGCCCAGAATACTGCATGAAGACTGTCCAAGCTCATCGCCCTCTCCTGGGACACCCTGGTTCCATAGAGCTCTGTCCCCTCCTCCTTCCACATCCATGTGTGAGCCCCCTTTTCCAAGAAGCTCTCCTTGACCAAGTCCTTCTCCTCCCCGAAGCTGTCCCCCTCCCTGCCCCTGGCTGTAGACCAGTTCTGACTTACACTGAATGGTTCTGGCTCCCCATCAGAGGTACAATTCCAGTCCGTAAGCAGACTTCATCCCCTCCTCGGATCATGGATGGAAATGGGGAGAGGGCTAGAAAGCAGAGAGCTCTTGGGGTGCGCCGATGGAAGTGAGGTCCTGGAGCTGAGCTGTGGGCAGCCAGGACTGCCGGAGGAGGCAGTCCCTGGGGACCAGGCCACATTCCTGAAGAGCCCCCTGAGGTTCTGTCTGGGGACTTGCAGTGGCCTGGAGCTGTAGGAAGTAATTATCACAGTGTTTTGGGAACTAGATTTCCATCAGAATTTTCTAAATAGCACCCTGGAGCAACACGAGATAGCCCTGGGCCCTGGGGACTCCAGCACTGGGCTGGGCAGAGGGTACAGAGCACAGGGTGGGAGGAGGCTGAGGTCAGAGGAGGGAGTCCACACCCCACAACTGTGAAGTCAATTCCAGGGAGAGCCAGGAACCCCCAGACCCTTGGCTTATCAGAGCTGGAAGGAAAGTGAGTGATTGATTCATCTGTGGTTCTAGGACCCAGCTGCACAAAGGCTGGGACGAGTGTTTTCAAACTGTCTGTTATATTTCATGGGGTCCACCGGGGTTTGACTATTTCCTTGACATGAGGCTGCAGTCAAGTAAGTAACTCAGCCACAATGAGCCTGTGCTTTTGGCTGGAATCTATCAACCCAGGGTGGCACTGCCTGCTGTCTGCTGCAGATCTGTGTCTGCTTCACATGTCTTCCAGTGAACAAGAGATGGGGAAACAAATTAATCGTCCCTTACACGCAGTCTGCCCAGTCAGCGACATTTTTCAAAGCATGACGTCCATGGCAGCAGTGGGGGCAGGGATAGGTAACAGTAGAAGCCTTTGGTGGTGAAAAGGTAGGAAATTATTATCTGCCCCAACCCTGCAGAGGATGCAACAGAGGTCCAGAGAGGGAAAGAGATTTTCTCAAACTTGCACAGCAAATTGTGGGTAGATATCAAATTTGAACACAAGTCCCAGGCTCCTGGACCAGAGCACTTCCCACCAGGCTGCCTGCCCCCTCCACCCTCTCAGGGGCCACACACACACACACACACACACACACACACACACACACACACATACTATTAACTCCATTTTACATTTGTAGGTTCCTGGTCCTCACGAGAGCCAGTCTTTCAAATGCCCTCTCACTTTCCCTCTTCAGAGTCTTTGACCAACCTATTTGTTCAAGAGTAAGTGCCAAGAGAGTCCATACTGTACGATTCCATTTCTATAAAGTACAAACCCAGGTGAAACTGATCTCCGCTGTGACAAGCCAGGACAGTGGTTACCCTCGGGGGAGGTGGTAACTGGAAGGGGAACGAGAGTCTGGGGTGCTGGCCATGCCCTGTTTCTTGATCTGGGTTCTGGTTTCACAGGTATGTTCAGTCGGTGAAAATGCATCAGGTTGCACTTGAATGCGATGTGCATTTTAGTGTATGTTTGTATGCTTCAGTTGAAAAATTTTAGAATTTGAATGTTCAGTAAATACTTGTCTTGATTTAAGAAGAAAGCTCATGAGGACCGTTTCTAGGCAATGCATTAAACATTGGACAGAGTTACACCACGGTCAGCTGTCCGCAGTCCGAGGAGGCCCTCCCTGCCCCCACCGCTTGGCTGGTCAGCCAAAGGCCCCAGCAGGGGCAGGTGGAAAATTCTGTATCTTGCAACACCCAAGCTTCATCAGGGCCAGTAACCTCTGGCTCAGTTCAGGCAGAGCCTCCTGGGACTTGAGCCACAGGTGCAGTGAGCAAGGACCCTGTGGGGAATGACCAGCCTGGGGACTGGGAGAAGGCCGTGTCAACGGTAAGGCAGGCCGGGGCAGCAGACTTTAAATGCCCTCCTCAGGAAGGGACGGCTGCAGCCCAGGGCCTAGGGGGCCTTCGAGCTTGGGCTGACTCAGGTAGACACAGTAGCATCTTTCAGGCAGTTTCTGACCGACCCAGTTCTTGGGAGAAGAGTGCACTTGAGCTAATGAGTGTGCATCGGCACAAGCATGTGCCTGTGAACATGCCTTTGCTCTGCCCTTTCCTTCTGCCTGGATCACCTTGCCCACTAGCGCCCCAAACCCTCCAGCCTTTGTCTGTACCCGGCCAAACCCTACAACCTCGGTTTAAATGTGTGATGTGGCTCAACACCTCCCTGCCCCCAGGCAGAGTGAATCCTTCCTTCTTCCTCTGGACCCACCATGCAACCTGGCACTGCCTCAAAAGAGCAGAGTGTTCTGTCCCCACTTCTGGACCGTGCGCTCCTCCAGGGCAGGGGCTTTGCAACCCCAGCTCTCCACTCGGCACTGTTTAAGAGACAAATAAGTACATAAAGCTCTGGGAGCGTATATTAGAACTGAATAGGACTAATCCCTCTAAACAAAGAAAATCATTAGAAGATTAATTAAGAGCTCTGTTTGGAGAGCTAATTCAGAGGCTAATAATCTTTTAGTTTAAGCAAGATCCAATGCTTTGATAAGACCTGTCATCCTGTTACCGAATTGATTAAGGCTGGGCCCTGGCTGTGGGATGCCTGAGTACGCACTTCACACATAATACCTCAAGTAATTTGGGGAACATTTTTCTGTTATTGACAAGCATTATAATGACTATAATAAACTAAGTAAACCTCCAGCGAAACAACGCATGACTACACTTGTCAATAGAGGTGTAACCATGAATTTAATGACTGCATTTCCTAAGCGCTTCTTTGTTGAGAATGTTTGTTCCGGTTTTGATCAGAATATGAACTGTGTGCATGACTCAGTAGCATTCATTTATTTCTCCACTCATCCATTCATTTGACATATCCTCTGCCCTACCATAGTCCCAGGCTCTATGCCAGGGCCATGGGAAATACTGTCAAGTCAAAAGACATTACCCTGCCCTCAACGAGCTCATCTTCCAGAAAGATTTGTGATCCCAGCAACCTCGCGCTAACAAAATGCCCGGAGGAAGGCAGAACCCGAGTGGTGGGTGAGTCTGGGGGAAGTTCCCTAGAGGAGATAGCATATGGGTTAGAATGAGTTGAGTATGTAGAATTTTGTTAATGGTAATATTTTTTTTCCTTCAATGAAAATAATTCATGCTTCAGAATGGCCAAAACAATCTTGAGTTAAAAGAACAAAGTTGTAGAAGTCATTCTTTCTAGTTTTAAAACTTACTACAAGGCTACAGTGGTACTCTGTATCGAGTATCAAGACTGTGTAGTACTGGCTTAAGGATAGATGTAACAGATCAATGGAATAGAATTGGTAGTTCAGAAATAAACTCATATATTTATGGGCCACTGATTTTCCACAAAGGTGCCAGGGAAATGGAGAAATAGGAAAATAACAGACTTTTCAACAAATGATACTGGGAAAACTGGATATCTACATGCAAAAGAATGAATCTGGACTTCTAAATGAAAATTAACTAGGCCAGATAGAGTGGCTCATGCCTGTAGTCCTAGCACTTTGGGAGGCCAAGGCAGGAGGATGGCTTGAGGCCAGGAGTTCAAGACCAGCCTGAGCAAGGCAAGACCCCATCTCTACAAAAAGATAGAAGAATTAGCCAGGCTTTGTGGCTTGCACCTGTAGTCCCAGCTACTCGGGAGGCTGAGGCAGGAGGATTGCTTGAGCCCAGGAGTTTGAGGTTGCAGTGAGCTGTGTTGCTGCATTCCAGCCTAGGGGACAGAGCGAGACTCTTGTCTCAAAAAGAAACAAACGAAAAAGGTGAATTTTTACCTGGGTGTGAATTATATCTCAATAAAAAGAGGTAACTCATGCTTATCATGGTAAATTTGGAGACAAATATTTTTAAAAAGAAGAGAAAGCAATCCTCACACTGTCACTGGAGGGATGTTCCAGGCAGGAGGACACCACCAGCAAAGGAGGGGTGAGGCTGGGGCCAGGGAGGGTGGTGCCGACACGCAGAGGGCCTGAATGCCAGAGTGGAACACACACAGGACAAGGAGGAGTCATGAAGGGCTCTGGGGCCCTCAGGCTGGCCCTGGGCAGGAGGCCATTACTGAAAGAATCTGGGTAGGAGATAGTCCTTGTCCTTGCCAAGCCAGGAGTTGATTTATAACAAATCTATCGAAAAGTGAAGTTGCCAGCCAAGTAGTGTAAATAATAGTTAACATCGAATGCTTTCTATGTGTCATGTGTTAAGTGCTTTACATACATGACCCTGTTGAATCCTCTGAACAGCCCTAGGAGGTAGGTACCCACGTTATTCCTCCCTTAGGCGGGTTAACAACTTGCCGAGGTTTCTAGGTCTGGAAGTGGTGGCGCTTCCACCCCGGGAGAAGAGACTTCCGAGCTGACATTACGAAGAGCCTGCCTTTGTCAGCACAGCCACGAGGCTCACGCTCGCCTCGGCCTCTGGACTGGGCTCCTAGACACGGGTGGCTAGGACAGGGCCTGCCCTCCCGCAGTGCACAGAGCCGAGGTGGGAAGTACAGGCGGATGTTATCCTCTTTGTACAAAAGAGAAAACCGAAGCTTTGAGAAGTTGAGAGGCGTTTCCAAATTTCACCCGAGATCAAGCACATCGGAGGCTTAGAACAGTGCCCGACGACATAGCAATGGTCAGTAAACGGCAGCCGTCGTTATTTCCCAGGCCACACAGCTCGTCTGTAGCAAAGCTGGGGTTCAAATCCAGCCCTTCTGGCCCAACATTCGACGTTCCTTCAAGAGAAGTGCGGCAGGGAAGAGCCCCACCGTGCAGAGGAGGCTCCAGGTTGTGTGGCTCCTGAAGCTTATACTATTTGGGGTGAGCTCTTTAAGAAAAAGATAAAAATTACAGAATTTTTATCTGTGAATGCATTGCTGGGACTCTTCCAAGGTCCCAAAAGGGCCCTGAAGCTCAAGTGTCACCAGCTTTGTGGCAAGTCTGCCTCTGCCACCACATGTGGAGGATTTGCTGCCCGGGCGGTGGGCTGGCCGGCTGGCCACCAAGGTCGCTTCTCAGACCAAGATCTGGTGATTCCGTGTCCTGAGGTGTGTGCAGGTGGCACACAGTAGTCGGCCCTCCTCCCATACACATGGAAGCGTGACATCGAGAGTGGCGAATATGTAACAGAGGGAATGGCCTGAAAAAAACGGCAAAAATATTTTCTGTCTCTTTAACCCCCCCCCCCACTTTTGAGAACTGTGGGTTCAGGGTTGCAGGGAGAAGTCTTTTTGTTCTTTGTGTTACAGGAAAGAGCTCAGCCATCCCAGGTGGGCCCAGGTGGAGCTTGTCTTTGGCAGAGATGGAATGATTAGGATCATTAACACCGTGTCCTAGGACTAAGCGGCTTCCCTTTAAAAGCTCGATATTTCTGCCTATGTTCCGTAAATGTGGACTTTGCGATAAGAAGGTCTACCATTTTTCCTCCTTGGCCAGTAAAGTAATAAATTTCCCTTTCCTTCCTCAAACCATTTGTTCTCGTTCTTCTGATGCGGCCTCGAGGACAAGTGCGGAGCTTTCAGTGACAGAGGCCACTGCACGTAGGCCAGACCAGGCGGCTCCTGCTCCCGCCCAGTGCTTGAGAGGGCTCTGTCCTGTCACGCATGGCCACAAAATAGACCTAGTAAGGACCTCTGACTCTCAGGACAGCGTGGCCTGGCGCCTAAGCATCCCCCCTCGGGACCAACACTGGCCGGGGCCCCTGGAGGTGCTCCTCTACATCTCTGTGTCCTTGAAGCCCAAACCTATGGGACCCTGGTGTTGGAGGTCTGTGGGTTGTGCTGCTGCCACGTGGGAGGTGGCACTGCTTTCAGGGCAGAGCCCAGGAAGGATTTGGAAGAAGTGATTTTAATAAGAAGACTGATTAGGCTGGGTGTGGTGGCTCACGCCTGTAATCCCATTCTCTTAAACAACAACAACAAAACCTGATCAACTCATCCAAACCTTCTCAGATTCAGTGAATGTAACAGACTCCTACCTAACAAAGTATCATTTCTTAGAAATGCCAAGTGTCCATATTCTTGCTTCTCTTCATGTTCCAATTCTTGGTCCTGGATACCCTCATGAATGAGTGCAGTATTCACAAAAGTTGCATGTGGCAGGTGAGGGATATTTTGTAAGACTAATTTTTTTTTTTATTGAGGCAGGGTCTCACTTTGTTGCCCAGGCATGAGTACAGTGGCATTGTCATAGCTCGCTGTAACCCCAAACTCCTGAGCTCAAGTGATCCTCCTGCCTCAGCCTCCCAAAGTGCTAGGATTATAACGCTAGGATATAGCACTGTGACAGACCCTCAATAACTTTTAAGAGTGGAAAGGAGTTTTGACTTCAAAAAGTTGGAGAATTGCTGGTCTATAGATCTAGATATTACTTTAAAAATTTTCATGATTTATAGGATAGCACTTTATATAATGAAATAAAAACATTTTTGTAATCTTTTTTATGACAGCAATAATTTATCATATGCCATACTGTTATTTTGTTTGTACATGATACATAAAATTCATGGTTTTGTCCTGCATCCAACAATTGCTTCAAGAATTACATTGATAATTTCCAGCCTTGGCAGAGTGAAGTTTCTTCAAATTGAAATTAATAAAAAACTATCTGAGGACTATAATGACCCAAGAAAAGTTGTCCAACTTGGCATGACTGTCAACAGAACATAAATTATATAAAAATCTTGATTATAACTATATTTGGTGTTTTTGCTATGACAAAGGCAAGAAAAATAAATTTTATTGACTAAACATGTAATAATTTATAAAGTATGTATATATTTATTACTCAACCAAACATTGCTAGCCCATCATATGCAATAATAATTAAATTTAGTCTTTTGATGTTTTGCCAACTCTTAGCTATATAGACACCAGTTTTACAAATTTTTTAAAGTTTTGTCATTATGAAAGTATACTGTCAAGGTAGGTAGACAATATATTTTATTTAACACTTTGTTAGTGTGATCGGTACCTTTTTAATATTAATTGAACTATTATGAGAACTTGCCTGGGTCCTACAAAAGTTAAGGGCAGGCCTGGTCCTACAAATTGGGCCGTCATTTCTCACAGAAGTTGGCAAGAGTTTCCAGAATGTTCAGATCCTGTATCAGGCACATCTTAATCTGCTAGTCGTGCTACCGAGAGAGGAGGGTGCGAATCCCCAGCGATCAGCTTGAACTGTGGTGCTCACTGCTTTTCCTGTGGCCCTGGACTGGCCTGAGCAGTGTTGAAAGCCACCCCCTGTACACACGGGAACCTCTTGGAGCCGCAGTGTAAGGCAAACACTTGACGCATGCAGAGACCAGGACAGGGAGACCACACTGAGACCACTCACTCCTCCCGTCTGACAGCATCGCCACGTGGTTGCAAAGATGAGTATGAAGTCCTGGGTGAGAAGGAAGGGCAAAGCATCTCACTAGCACAGAATTGCCCTTGGGGGTGGCTGACCCAACTCCTCGCAGGAGGCTGAGGTCTCGGCCGTGACTGACTCAGGGAGCTCTAGGCCTGACGTTCCCTGTGGCTTGGCTGGTGTGTCCAATGAAGCTTGGCTTGCCCAGTCCAGTTTCTCAACACAGATTGCCTGTCAGGCTAGGAAATCTGGGTCAAATGGCCTTGCCCAGACCTCAGCAATTCTCTATAGGCTGCTCAGCAGAGCCAGGTGGAGAGGCGTGGGCAGAGGATGTGGGGGTGGCAGCCAATGGGAAGCCAGCCCCGTGCCTGGCATTGTAGGAGGAGGTGTGGCAGAGGCAAACCGTCTCTGTCACCTTGCCTGTGTGGTCCAGCTCAACTTCCCTGTCTGTCTCCTTCTCTCCCAGTACAGAAGAAAGGACCGGAAGAGTGACCCCACCAACCTTTGCTGATCCCTTTGCCCAACCAGGAGTATGGGGACACACATCAGTTGAGGGTTACAAGAGAGGGTTACAGAGAGAGCCATGACTGTGGATGCCCTCCTCTTCCTCATCACCAGTTACCACTAATGAGCAGCCCAAACTGGGTGCTGCACAGGGTTCAAAAGGTGATGCCGTGCCCTACCCTGCAGGCATCTCAGGGCCAGGAGACTTGGAGGCCATGGGTGCCAGTCTTCACCCAGGGTGAAACTCATAAATATTTGGGGCTGGGTACGGTGGCTCACGCCTGTAATCCTAGCACTCTGGGAGGCCAAGGTGGGAGGATTGCTTGAGCTCAGGAGTTTGAGACCAGCTTGAGCAAGAGCAAGACCCCATCTCTACTATAAATAGAAAGAACTTAGCCAAACAACTAAAAATAGAAAACATTAGCTGGGCACGGTGGCACATGCCTGTAGTCCCAGCTACTTGAGAGGCTGAGGCAGGAGGATCGCTTGAGCCCAGGAGTTTGAGGTTGCTGTGAGCTAGGCTGACACCACGGCACTCTAGCCCAGGCAACAGAGTGAGACCCTGTCTCAAAAAAAAAATAAAAAAAAAAAATTGGAAACTAACTGGACTAGGCAAGAGCACCAAGGTGGAAGGGTGTAGACAAAGGCAGAGCGAGGGTGTAAGGCAGACTGATTGCACTGGGCCGGGCCCTGAGAGTCCTGGATGATGGAGGTGCCAGGGTGTGGTGGGGCAAGGCCGGAGGCTGAGGCCATGCCCTGTTGCTAAGTAAGTTCTCATGAGCACCTACTATGTGCCAGGCATTATTCTATGCAAAAGTGTCCCTTTCTTCACAGCACTTACAATATTTTCAACCAATATGTATTTGTTGAATATCTGCCATGTGCCTGGTTCAAAGCTGGCCACCAGTGTCTCAGAGACAAATATCATTCTAAGGACGTTATAACAGAGTAGGAGTCACGTGTGCACGCAGATAGGTACTGACAGATTAGAGATAGCTATTAACAGATAGATATTAACAGATTGGAGTAAGTCATTTAATTTCTAGAGGATTTGAGTTTTCTCATCTATAAAATAAGGGAGCCTAACTATAACTTATATCCCACCTACTTCCAAAAGATTTTGAGATAACTTCCAAAAACATACATTTACAATAATTTTGTTAAACTAGAATTAGAAAACTAAAAACCAAGTGGAAGGAGAGAAACCAATTGAAGGGGAGAGGGGAAAAAAAGTAAAAAAGGGAGCTAAGATAAAGAGCCAACCACCCTAGTTACGTTGGCAGCCAAGGAGAAAAGATAAACAGAGTGGTTTACATAATTACCATTATGAAATACATCAGGTCTTCAGAAGACAGAAAAATTTTCCTGATAGTAAATACTAATTTCATGTGTGGGTCCTTCTCTTTATGTAAGTAATGTAGATTACCATAGTAGACAATGCTTTTAGTAGTAGATTTTCCAGGACAAAAAAAAATGCAGTTTTTCATGTGATCATTTCTTCTGCCAACCAACAACAGACACCAATGGTGTAACATTAAAATGGAACTTGGCTGAAGGCATTTTTGCCTGGGCAGCTAAATTAACATGGTTCAAATGTATAGTTTTCTGGTGGCATAACTGATACCAGAATAGAACTCAGACTATGCAGAGGACAGTTATATTAACTAGGTTGTTTCCACACACCATCACTAGCCCTGGGTATTGGCAAATGTTTTCCTTTTTGCCAATCATAGAGGTGGAAAAGTGACGTCTAAATTCTATTAATAGTTTTAGATGGGCACAGTGGCTCATGCCTGCAATCCCAGCATTTTGGGAGGCTGAGACAGGAGGATTGCTTGAGCCCAGGAATTTGAGACCAGCCTGGGCAACATGGTGAGACCCCATCTCTACAAAAAATAACAAAATTAGCTGAGTTGGGCCTGGCGCGGTGGCTCATGCCTGTAATCCTAGCACTCTGGGAGGCCGAGGTGGGAGGATTGCTTGAGCTCAGGAGTTTGAGACTAGCCTGAGCAAGAGTGAAACCCCGTTTTTCTAAAAAAATAAAAATTAGCTGGGTGTGGTGGCAAATGCCTGTAGTTTCAGCCTCTTAGGAGGCTGAGGCAGGAGGTTCACTTGAGCCCAGGAGTTTGAGGTTGCTGTGAGCTACGATTGTGCCACTGCACTCCAGCCTGGGCGACAGAGGAAGACCCTGTCTTAAAAAATAAACAAATAAATTCTAGCTTTACTTTGAATTTCTTGAATTATGAGTGATATCAAATATATTTCTATATGTTTATTGGCCATTGAATATGTTTTTTCTTCAATCTATTTGTATATATTATTTGACAATTTTTTAAAAAACTGCCTCAGTGTACTCATCTATAAAATGGAGATGATAATAATAGCACCTACCTCATAGGGTTACTTACTATGAGAATTAAATAATCTATGTACTTAAAATAGTATCTAGCACACAGTAAATGATTATTAAGTATTAGCTATTAAAATGATTAGACTTGACTTGTTTTTTCTTATTCATTAGTTTGAGTTTCTTTGTAAAGTAAGGAAATAAATCCTTTTGTTATCTGTTTTCTCAGTTACTAGAAACATATTTTCATGGTAGTTTTATGGTACTTCCACAGAGAAGTTTTTAAAATAATTGTTATGTGGTGGAATGCATCAATCTTTTCCTTTATGACTTCTGGGTTTTCCATCCTGATTAGAAAATCTTTTCCATTCCAAAATATAAATCAACTTATCCATACTTCCTTACATAACTTATACAGTTTTATTGTACTTAAATCTTTGATCCCCGCTTGAGCCTAGGAGTCTGAGGTTGCAGTGAGCTGTGATGATGCCACTGAACTTTAGGCTGGGAAACATAGCAAGACCCTGTCTCAAAACAACAACAACAACAACAACAACAACAAAAACCACTTTGACCCAAATGGGATTTGTTTGGGCTCCATGTTAATGATCCCCATTCTAACAATAATCCAGGCATCCCAGCACAACGTGTTGAACACTCTCTTTTCCCCATGGAGTTGAATGGAGATGGTTGAATCTTCCACTGACGTTCTTCAGCCCCTTCCCTAATTTAAGATTCCTGCAGCTGTAACACGTCAGGGTGGATGCCAACCCACTGGAAGAGGGCGGCATGGATGTGGAGTAGAGGAATGAGCTGAGCCAGGAAGCGGAGATTCTAAAACCTCTGCGCCATCCACTCGATGGGTGATCTTTACAAGTCTTTTCTGCTTTCTGGGTCTTCATTTCTCTCTCTGTACAATGAAGAAAGAAGACTAGATGTTTCTCAGGCCCCTTTCAGCTTTTTTCTTTTTTTGAGACAGAGTCTCACTCTATTACCCCGGCTAGAGTGCCATGGCATCAACCTAGCTCACAGCAACCTCAAACTCCTGGGCTCAAGCAATCCTCCTGCCTCAGCCTCCTGAGTAGCTGGGATTACAGGCATGTGCCACCATGCCAGGCTAATATATATATATATTATATTTTTAGTTGTCCAGCTAATTTCTTTCTACTTTTTTAGTAGAGATGGTCTCGCTCTTGCTCTGGCTGGTCTCGAACTCCTGAGCTCAAACGATCCACCAGCCTCAGCCTCCCAGAGTGCTAGGATTACAGGTGTGAGCCACTGGGCACGGCCCTTTTCAGCTTTAATACTGTTTGAGTCTAGAGATTACAGGGAGCGCACGTGCAGGAGTGAGTGAGCAGGGACGGAAGAGTGAGGCATCTGTGATGTTGGTCACTTCCTTCCTGGCCATGTCTCCTTCAACATCCATGCATCCTCAAAAGCTGGGAGTCAACTGCTCCCATCTCAAGAGACCCTGACCCTGGCAGAGGAGGGCAAGGCCCAGGGGAAGCTGCTGATTCAGGGACAGAGGGCAGACAACACAGATCCCTGAGGAAGCCTGCCTGTGTGAGCACCACTAGAATCTGACCTCCTCCAAGGCCCAAGGCCCACCCCGAAAGAGGAAGGCCGGGTTAGGACTTGCCTGTGAGAACACACACACACACACACACACACACACACACACACACACACACACACAAACACGTCATCCCATGATGCCTACACACAAAGGAGGGCAAAATTACTTAGGTGAGACAGAGCTGGCTTCATATCCCTGCTCCACTACTTGATCTGCGTGACCTTGACAAGGTATTTAACCTCCAGAGTCTCCTAGAGAATGAACTTTGCAGGATTTTTATGACAACTCAATGAGTTCTAACGCAGTGCCTGGGACACAGTAGGAGGCCACTTCAGGATATCTCATGTCCACTTCTGCTCCCTCCCTCTCTGTCCTGGAGGCTTGAGTTTTTGAACAGGCCGTAGCATTTTGCAGTAGAAAGAGATCTCGGCTTTGGGGCCAGACCAACCCAAGATCGAATCCCACCCCGGCAGCCGTGTGAGCTCACGTCCACAGAGCATCCGGCATGGCGCCTGGCCCACGCGGGCACATGATAAGGGGCATGAATATTGCCACTCGGTACAACCCCAGTGAGCCTGGGAGCTCGTGGAGGGCAGCATCAGACAGGTGCTGGGGACAGCGCCTTCTGACCTGGAGGGAAGAAGGCCTGAGTCTGAGGGATTCACTAACAAAGGCTTAAGATGATCGTGTAGTAACCGTCCCATACTCCCAGTGGGACCCTTGACACGGACTCATGCTCACGTTCCATTCAGTTCTACGCAGGCTTCGCAGAGCTGTTTCCTGGCCCCCACAACCTTGTTGTCTCCAGCCAATAGATGAGCTGCCACCAAAAAGGTTGCCAAATAAAATGTAGGGCACGGTTAAATTTGAATTTCAGATAAACATTGAATAACTTTTTATTGTATAGGGCATACCTATGCTAAAAAAAAGTCTGCTGCTTATCAGAAATCCAAATTTAAATGTGTCCTGTATTTTCATTTGCTAAAGTTGGCAACACTAGCCATTGATCACCCGTCACAATCAAAGCAACAACTTACATTTGTGGAACACTTAAGTGACCATGACATCAGCTGTGTGCTGCCCTTTGCAGTCAAGGTCACGTCCACTAGCTGGAATAATCCTCCTTTAAGCAGGGATGACCTGGTTGGTGGCACACTTGGCCCTGTAGCGAGGCGATATGCAAGGATGGCTGAGGAGGGCTGGGGGCAGGCTCACTGCAAGTGGACAGGAGCCCTCAGTCAAAAATATCATCATCATCTGAGCGTGGTGGCTCACGCCTGTAATCCTAGCACTCTGGGAGGCTGAGGCAGGAGGATGGCTCAAGGTCAGGAGTTTGAGACCAGCCTGAGCAAGAGTGAGACCCTGTCTCTACTAAAAATAGAAAAAATTAACTGGGCACAGTGAAATGCATCTATAGTCCCAGCTACGTGGGAGGCTGACACAGGAGAATTGCTTGAGCCCAGGAGTTTGAGGTTGCTGTGAGCTAGGCTGATGCCATGGAACTCTAGCCCAGACAACAAAGGGAAACTCACTTAAAAAAAAAAAAAGAGGGAGATACCGTTATCACCTCCATTTAACACACAAAGAAGTTGAAGTGCATTCATTTAACAAGTACATATTGAGCCTGGCCTGAGAGGAGAGGTTAAATGATTTGCACAGAGTCCCCCAAGCTGGTAGATTGTGGCCAGCTGACCGCTGCAACCCGGGATAGTCATGTACTTCTCCTCCCTCTCCAAAATGCCAATGAGAATGCCAAACCATGCACTGAACATTTGAGAATCTTCTGGATGTGTGCTTGTCTCCTTCCCTACCTAGTTCCACTGTCTTACCTCCCCCCAGGCTGAGAGCCCCAAGGGGACTGAGAAGCTGAGTGAGTGCTCAATCTCAGGGAAAGTTACTGATGAGGGTCCCCTTTTTCCTGGATGCCACACCCCAAGCCCCTGCTTCCCTGGGACCGTGGGCATGACACTGACCACCTGCTCTCCAGCTGTCCCACTCCCCTTCCTCCAGGTCACAAATACCTAAGGCTCCTGGAAGTAGTCAGGAAGGGAAGAGGAGATACTTGGGCAGGACAGAAGATAGGAGAGTTTGAAGACACTTAGGATTAAGGTATACAAAATGCATACCTATACAGATAAAATTGTCAGTGGTTCTCGCATTACTGTGATGGGTGGTCCCTGAAATTACAGTTGAGTGGAAGCGGGGTCAGGGCAGGGACAGGCGCAGGATCCAGATCAGGTCAAGATACTCAGGGCAGTGCTGAGTGTGTCTTAGAACACTGGCGTGTAGGAGCAGCATCCCGCGGCTGCCTCTGTCCCCCAGCCCAGCCCAGCCAGCCCAGCTCTCGGCTCCAGCCACACGGCCCACCTGGCATGCATGCTCCCCAATCCATGCCTGTCTCAATGAGGCTGGCCCTGCCCGTTCTACTGAGTCCTGCAACTGCCAACTCCTGCCCTCCTCATTGCCTTACCTGGCACCACTGTTCTCTTTCCATAGCACCTCTAGAAACTTTACTTATTTACCATGTTCTTTCGCTCGCTCATGTACTCCAAACCTGCAAAATGGTACCTGGCATGGTGGGAGCTCAATAAACATCCTGTATTGAACTTGTTGAACTGAATTTAGAAGGACCTAGATACTGTAGCTACTTCTAATCAGGTGTGCTTTCAGAGTGTCCTGCAGGGTTTGTTACAACGCCCAGCCGGAGTCCCTTCCCTAGACCTCCTAAGTCAGCTTGAGAAGCTCAAGGCTTTGATACTAAACCCTTCCCTGCTGTGGCCCCCACTTGGCCACAGGCTTGCAGAGGCTCCGAGAGGCCTGCCCTGACCAAGGCCATGGCACGGTGGGGGCTGAGCCGGCAGTCCCAAGATTCTCGCCCCTGGGGCCCTCGTGTTCTTTAGGCAGATCTGGGGGAACCCTCAGTGCAGAATGTTAGTTATCAGAGAGGGTGCCTGCTGCCATCACTCTGCATCCAGTTTTCTCCTAGCCCAGTGCATAGCTCATAGTTGAACTCAATGTATGTTTGTTCTTACTATTTTCTGTCGCATTCTCGGTGGGCAGAGGTGCACGGGCCCAGGCCCAGTGGGCTTCATGTCACACTCCCCAGTGCGCCCGAGTGGGAACTGAAGGACGCCCCTGCCTCTTTCACTGGCCCTGAGTGTTGAAGCAACGTCCTGTGGTGGCTAGAGCACTGGCCTGGGGCCAGCTGTGTGGCCTGAGCAAATCTCATAACCATTCTGCGTGTTTCCTAACCTGTAAAATGGGGCTGACTCCCAGGGTGGACATGAGGACTCCACCTGATACCGGATCGCCGGAAGCTCACCGCGTAGACCCACCTTACCTCCGTCACCGGCCTCTTGCTTAATGCCGCCTGTGGTTAGCCCCCCCACCAAAGGACAAAGTTCAGCTCCTCCGCCTGGAACCCGAAGTTCTTCCACCTGGGCCCCAGCCCCCAGCCCCTCCCTCCTGTGCTGCCACTCCTCTCCACACACCTTCACTCTGGCCACAGTTAGTCACCGCCCTGAACAGGCCATACCGTTTCACACCTCCACACCTTTGCACAGACCGTTCCCTCTGCCAGGAATGCCCCCTCCCTCTGCTACCCAGAGAGTCCGGGCATCGCCCGCTCCGAGGCACCCTGCTTCCTCGCCTGCCCGTTTCTGACGTGCAGCTGGGCAGCCGGGTTAGACTCCTGGCTCTGCTATCTCACAGCTGAGTGACCTCAGGCAAAGTTGCTCAACCTCTCAGCCTCAGTTTCTTCATCTACAAAATGAAGATAATGGCAAGACCCACCTCTTAGGGGCATTGTGAGGATGAACTGAGATAATGTAGGGCCTGGCCCGGCCTGGCACATGGGAGGTGCTCAGGAAATAATGGCTATTATTGCTGCCCTCAGTGTTCCCATCAGTGTCTCAAACCCCCCCCCCCCCAAATCTCTGCCCTCTAAGACTGTCAAGGGCCACCCAGGCCAGCTGATTCTGGGGACGCAGAAGGAACTTGCCTGTAATCAGCCCTTTCTGATTAATGAAGCAATTAGGAGGAGAACCATGCAGGCAATGGAAATTGAACTCACCAGGAACAGCCGTGTTCTCAGGCAAGGGTCTGGGTCACAGCAGGTGAGGGAGGAAGCTGGGGAGGGGGAGACATGGCAGCTGCAATAGGGGTTTGTCCCCCAGGTGCCAGGCCTGCCTGTGTTCCACCTCTGAGGGGAAGTGACAAGGATAGCCCTGCTCACCCTCTGGACCCTGGTCTTCCCATCGGCCAGGGCCTGCAATAGGAACATGATGAATGAGCACCATTGTCCTCCCACAGCTTCACAATAACCACTGGAGGACAGTTGCCTTTGGAGTCGGAGTTCAAGTGCTGAGTCCTGCCCTGAGTTCAAGTCCCACTCCATCACTCTCCAGGTGTGTGACCTTGAGCAAGTTGCTCAACCACTCTGTGCTTCAGTTTCGTCCGCATCTCTAACATGGGATGAGAAAAGCAGCTCCTGCCTCACTGAGCTGATACGAGGATTAAATGCCAACACGCCTTTAAGACACTGAGCACAATGCTCGGAAGAGGGTAAGCACTCAGTAATGCTAGTTATTATTACTCATTTCCTTATTTGGGGGATGAGGAAATAGAAGGAAAGAGAAGTTAAGTAACTTGACCAAAGTCACCCAGCTTGTAAGTGGTGGATCTGGGATTCCACCCCTGGGTTTTTTGACTCCAAATCAGAATTCTCTCAACTTTTCCACGTTGCCCCTTATTTTTATTGCTCTTGTTCCCTAATCTGAAGCCAGAAAAACAATTCTTAAAAAATGCCCTAATTGGCCGGGCGAGGTGGCTCACGCCTGTAATCCTAGCACTCTGGGAGGCCGAGGCGGGCGGATTGCTCGAGGTCAGGAGTTCAAAACCAGCCTGAGCAAGACCCCGTCTCTACCAAAATATAGAAAGAAATTAATTGACCAACTAAAAATATATATACAAAAAAAAATTAGCCGGGCATGGTGGCGCATGCCTGTAGTCCCAGCTACTAGGGAGGCTGAGGCAGTAGGATCGCTGAGCCCAGGAGATTGAGGTTGCTGTGAGCCAGGCTGACGCCACGGCACTCACTCTAGCCTGGGCAAGAAAGTGAGACTCTGTCTCTAAATAAATAAATAAATAAATAAATAAATAAATAAATGCCCTAATTATAATGGCAACAAGTTGACACATTTTAAATATATTTAAATCCACGAGTTCATGATAGAGAAACAAATCATAGATCAATTTTAGAGATGCTAGAGAACTAGCTCGTTATTTTGAAAACTGTAAATAGAGGGAAAGATGCACTGATTCTGCTTTTTCTGCGTAATTGGTAAAAGTTAACTCACATTAAGCAAATGGTCGAGAGAGGGAAGTTTCTCTTAGTAAAAGTGCGTCAGCTATGACATGCAGAAGGAGTAGTGGAGTATCACTGTTTGCAACCCCCGATGAAATAGTGGAGCCAGGCATTGATCCCCGACAGCTGCTTTCATTATGTGTCTCCCACGGAAGAACACAGACCACCGGTGAAGTCATTGTCCCAAATGTGGAACCTGAATCCCATCAAGCCTCTGGTAAAGGAATGCAATCAAATGCTAGGCTGTGGGGCGCTCTATAGGAAAAATGAGTTGGTTTCTTGAGGAAATAAATTATAAAGGGGGAAAAAAGAGAAAAAAGGAAAATCTATAATTTAAAAGAGACCTAACAGACATCAAACATTTGCAATACAGTATGTGGGCTTTATATAGACTCTGATTTCAATAAATTATTATTATTTTTTTTTGAGAGAGTCTCACTTTGTTGCCCAGGTTAGAGTGAGTGCTGTGGTGCCAGCCTAGTTCACAGCAACCTCAAACTCCTAGGCTCAAGCAATCCTCCTGCCTCAGCCTCCCAAGTAGCTGGGACCACGGGCATGTGCCACCATGCCCGGCTAATTTTTTTCTATATATATTAGTTGGCCAATTAATTTCTTTCTATTTTTAGTAGAGATGGGGTCTTGCTCTTGCTCAGGCTGGTTTCAAACTCCTGACCTCAAGCAATCCGCCCGCCTCAGCCTCCCAGAGTGCTAGGCTTATCAATAAATTATTTTATAAATGAGAAATTGGAGAATTGGAACAAAATCTGGGCATTAGATATTAAATCATTGTTAGTTTTTCAGGTGTAATTATGGTAATGTGGCTATTTTTTTAAAAGAAGTCTACTTCTCTTAGAGCTACATCTGAAATATTTACAGGTGAGATGGTACAGTGCCTGAGATTTGCTTTAAAAGAACCCAGGGGCATGCCAGGGCTACAGATGAAACTCAATTGGCCACTGAAGTGGGGTGATGAGTACGTGGGGGTTATCATATTATCCTCACCACTTTTGTATATGTTTGACATTTTCCATAATAAACAGAAAAAACTGGCCGGGCGCGGTGGCTCACGACTGTAATCCTAGCACTCTGGGAGGCTGAGGAGGGTGGATTGCTCGAGGTCAGGAGTTCAAGACCAGCCTGAGCAAGAATGAGATCCCATCTCTACTATCCCATCTCTACTTTCTACTAAATAGAAAGAAACTAATTGGCCAACTAATATATATAGAAAAAATGAGCCAGGCATGGTGGTGCATACCTGTAATCTCAGCTACTCGGGAGGCTGAGGCAGGAGGATCACTTGAGCCCAGGAGTTTGAGGTTGCTGTGAGCTAGGCTGACGCCACGGCACTCACTCTAGCCTGGTTAACAAAGTGAGACTCTGTCTCAAAAAAAAAAAAAAAAGAAAAAACTGAGTGATAGAATACCATTTTGTCTTTATAACTGTGTCTAGATGTTGCTCCTCTTTGAGGTTCATTTCCCCAACTGCAAGTGGAGCCAAACTATCCACCAACACCGAGTGCTCACTATACACCAGGCACTGTTCTAAGCTCTTGATTTGTTTTCAGTCATTGAATCTCTGAACTGCCCTATGGGCAGGGGACTTTTATGCCCAATTTACAGATGAGAAAACTAAGGTCCAAAGAAGTTAGTTAACTTGCCCAAAGTCATACACGACAAGTGGTGGATCTGAGATTTGAACCAGGTGTCCTGGTCCAGGTGTCCTGGCTGCCTCTCTGTGTGCAGGGCCCACGGTCCATCCACCTGAGCTGTTCTGGCATCTTTTCTGTATTTACGGGCTCTGCCCAGTCCTGCCACATCGATACCGTGCCCACTGCTGGACTGGAAGAGGCTTGCTGAGGGTGGCGCTTCTGGGAACTTGCCAGTGGGACCCCACCTCGAGAGTCAAGGTGTGTGAGGAAGGTGCTCCTGAGAGTCGCTGACCCATGACTTAAGTAAGGGTAGGGCTCAGGCTTGAAGCGGGGGCAGGCTGTGCCAGGTGGAGGCGGCTCATTTCCTCCTGCCTGGGGCTACATGCGTGGCCTTTACCAGCCTGGCTTGAGCGAGGGGAGACCTTCCTCCCACGTGCATGAGCCCATGGGGAAGGAGCAGGCTGGAGCTCCTGGGCTGACTGCAGGCGTGGGAGGAATCTGCTCCTGTGCAGGGGACAGAGAGGCAGAAGGCTAGATGCAATGACCCCGGGGTGTCCTCACTGCCTGTTCCCAGTTATCTATAGCTGCCAAGAAGTGCATATGTGGTGTATAGAATTTGGCTTCCCAGTTCTCTGGGAGGTTATAACCTAAAGGATTTAAGGATTAAAATCTCCAAACACTCCAAGCCCTGGAGCCACCCAGGCAGGCCCGGCACCATCTCAGCACAGTGCTTTGCTGTCTGGATTCTCTCCCCATCCTTTCTCTCCCCTCATTTGTTAATTCAGTTCATGTTTTCAAGCACTTACTCCGTGGCAGTGTGTTTGGCCCTGAGGATATAAAGATGAATTATTTTTCTCAGGGTGCTCACAGTCTACTAACAGAAATATGAGGGTGAAAGAGAAAATACCTGTTCCACACTCCCTTCTTCCCAGGAGCCTGGTCAGGCTTAGCTATGTACCTGCTTTGAATCCCTCCCCATCTCCAGCCTGGTCTGGGTGGATCTTGCTCCAATGCATCACAATCCCTCTCCATTGAGTCTCCCCCATAACCTCACCCTGGAGATTTCCCTCCAGAGTAGGAAGTGGGGAATGGTTCAACACAGACCAGCACGGTTCCATAGAAAGAAATATAACATGAGACAGTAATGTGAGTCACATATGCAATTTATTTATTTATTTTTGAGACAGAGTCTCACTCTGTTGCCTAGGCTAGAGTGCCGTGGCGTCAGCCTAGCTCACAGCAACCTCAAACTCCTGGGCTCAAGCGATCCTCCTGCCTCAGCCTCCCAATTAGCTGGGACTACAGGCATGTGCCACCATACCTGGCTAATTTTTTCTAGATATTTTTAGTTGGCCAATTAATTTCTTTCTATTTTTAGTAGAGACAGGGTCTCACTCTTGCCCAGGCTGGTCTCGAACTCCTGATCTTGAGCAATCCGCCCTCCTCAGCCTCCCAGAGTGCTAAGATTACAGGTGTGAGCCACTGCGCCCGGTCACATATGCAATTTACATTGTTTTAATAGCCACATGAAAAAAGTAAAGATGGGTGTGGTGGCTCATGCCTATAATCCTAGCACTCTGGGAGGCGGAGGTGGGAGGATCACTTGAAGTCAGGAGTTTGAGACCAGCCTCAGCAAGAGCGAGGCCCTAAAAATAGAAATAGAAATAGAAAGAAATTAACTAAAAATATAAAAAATTAGCTGGGTGTGGCTGGTATACACCTGTAGTCCCAGCTACTTGGGAGGCTGAGGCAGGAGGATTGCTTTAGCCCAGGAGTTTGAGGTTGCTGTGAGCTAGGCTGATGCCATGGCACTCTAGCCCGGGCAACAGAGTGAGACTCTGTCTTAAAAAAAAAAAAAAAAAAAAAGTAAAAACAACAGGTAAAATTAATTTAATTTAAATCAATTCATTTATTTTTCTTTAATGCCTCACTCTGTCATCTGAGCTAAAGTGCAGTAACATTATCATAGCTCATATTGGGCCACCCTACCTGGCTCATTTTTAAATTTTTTGTAGAGATGAAGTCTTGTGATGTTGCTCAGGCTGGTCTCAAACTCCTGGCCTCAAGCGATCCTACCACCTTGGCCTCCCCAAGTGCTGGAATTATAAGCATTGAGCCACTGCATTTTAAAACCTGTCAGTTTTAATAACATATTTTATTTAGCCCAATATACCTAAAATATTATCACTTCAACATGTAATCAACATAATCACAAAAAAGATATTTTGCATTTGCTTTTCATACTGTCTTTGAAACCCAATGTGCATTTTACAGTTTAGCACATCTCAGTTTGGACAAGCCGAATATGAAGTGCTCGATAGCCACATGTGGCTAGTGGCTACCATATTGGGCAGCACAGATCTAGACTACCCATCCTGCGATTTGGTCTGTCTTACTCAGTTTTGGAGATGGTGACACAATTCAGTTACCTAGGAAACAGGCTCCACCTCCCTGGGAGACATTGTCTGGAAGGAAGACTGCAGCCTTGTTCCTGCCTGGAGTCCTGGCCTGAGGTGCCAGGCAGAATAATGGGCTGAAGATGGGCCAAGGGTGTGGCCCACTTACCACTCAGAGCTGAGGGGCTGGAGCCCAGGGAGATCAAGGGTCCCGCCTGCCTGTGGGCTCTATCACCCTGACTGGGTACCTAACCAGCCCGGAGACACCACACCCTTGCTCTGCTGTGTCCTGCATCTGAATGCCTTTCCACCCCTTCCTTCAACTGCATCTGCCAAATGCTACCCGGTCAAAATGCTTAAGCCATGTAATCCTAGCACTCTTGGAGGCCAAGGCAGGCGGATTGCTCGAGGTCAGGAGTTCAAAACCATCCTGAGCAAGAGCAAGACCCCGTCTCTACTATAAATAGAAAGAAGTTAATTGGCCAACTAATATATATAGGAAAAATTAGCCGGGCATGGTGGCGCATGCTTGTAGTCCCAGCTACTCGGGAGGCTGAGGCAGCAGGATTGCTTGAGCCCAGGAGTTTGAGGTTGCTGTGAGCTCGGCTGACGCCATGGCACTCACTCTAGCCTGGGCAACAAAGTGAGACTCTGTCTCAAAAAACAACAACAACAACAACAAAATGCTTAAGCTACAAAATGCAGCGAACAAAGAAGGCAATGTAACACAGAGAAAAGACCAGAAGAAAACACACCTATATTTCAACCACGGTTTCCTCTGGGGTTTGGAACTAGGTAACTATTCTCTTCTTTTTACTTTTTTACATTTTCTTTAAAATTTTTATATTATGAGCATGTATTCCTTACTTATATAATTGGAAAAAGTAATATGTTTAATATACATTTTAAAAAATCCTATGTGGTCTTCAAAGACCCCTTAGAATGCCAACGCCCCCAGGGCTTCCCGGCCTCCATCGGCATCGCTTGCCTGTGTTGAGGTTCTTCCCACATGGCCTACTGGCCTTGGGTTCAACGGTTTAACATGGGCCTGTCTTACCTTCTCCACAGCATCTTGGGGTGGGGCCTGGCACAGTGAGAGCCTCCCAGTGGGGGCTCTGTGTGTTGTGGATGGGAGACTGAGGCAGGACGCCTGGGCTCTGCAAGGCCCTCCCACCCCCACCCCGTTCCTTCTTCTTAGTGACCCAGTCAAGTGACTTTCTTCCCCCACTTCCTCCCCCAAAATCTAAAATCACAAAACCTTCAAGCCAGAGGACCCCTTGAGTGGTCACACTGTCCAGTCTCCACGACTCTCTGTCCTCCCTCTCTTCTCCCAGCTTCAGCGTAGGTTGTCTGCTTAGTCCACCAAGCCAGCCTGGGTAGGTGTGGGCATAACTCTAACTCTAACCCTAACCCTAACACTAACCCTAACCCCAGAGACACAGGCCTAGGTCACTGGCCCTCAATTCTGACTTCATTCCTTGCTGTGGGGGCACAGCCTGTTCTCCTTCCTTTCTTTCTGGGCTCCCTGCAGCCCTTGCAGGCTCCCTCGTGCGACAGTCTGTAGGTTGGGTGCAAGTGTGCAGCTGGAGCAGCCCATGCATGCTGTCAGGGCTTGGCAGCGGCCTTGTTTGGAAATGGGACCATGGGCCAGCTCATGCTTTGACTTCTCTCCAGAAAAAGGCTGCAGATATATCTCACCCTGGAGACTGTCAGCTGTTCTGAGGAAAGGTCTTTTTTTGAAAATGCAGCTGATCAAACACTTACAACAGGCCCTGAGACATCTCCAGATCTCACTGTCACAGGTGCTGCAGAGAACGGCTTCGCAGCCTTGACTACACAGAAACCACTGAAATATTTACGAGGCTCCTGGCTTGTGAAACAGAGCTTTCGCTCAGGAGAAAGGGAAGGGATGTGGCACTTGTTAAGTACCTGCCACATGTCACGCCATGCAGGGAGCTTCCTGGCTTAGCGAGGGAACTGCCATTAACCCCATTTAACTGGCTGGGACATTGAGGCCCTGAGGTGGATGGTATAGTGGCTACAGGGACTGGGAGGCTGGCGCCATCACCAGCCAATTGTAGGAGACCTTGAGCAGGTTCCTTAACCTGAGTCTCCATTTCCTTGTCTGTAAAATGGGGATTATAAGGGGACCCACCACTGTTGTGAGAATTCACAAAATAGCCCACGTACCATGCTGAGCAGTGCCTAGCTTATGTTAAATGCTCAATATTATCATTATCGGCCCAGTCACATCACAGAGCCGGAAAGTGAAGGGGCTTGGCTCACTACCGACAGCAACCCTCCAGGAACTCACCAGACTCTGTCCACCTCCTGTCCAGTCACCCAGCTGCTCAAGCCAGACACCTCTCCCTTACTCTATCGTCTTCACCAAATCCCAGCCACCTCTCCCCTTAAATAACTCCTGAATCTGTCAATTTCTTCCACCTTTACTGTCCAACTCAGCCCCGGGTCACTGTCACCTCTGCTGATGGCAGCAAAGGTTTCCTCTGTCTTTTCTCTGTCCTGCAGCCAGAGGGGCCTTTTCAAATTGCAAATCTGAGTGTGTCACCTCCCCCTTCACTCCCCTGACCCCTTAACTTCCCAAAGTCTCCCTGGCAGCCTGCCTATAGCCCTGCCGTCCAGTCTGGGAGCCTTTGCAGGGGGCTCCCTCTGCTTAGAACACTCTTCCTTTCCCCACCTGCACGCCTCCCCTCTTCTGTCTGAGTGACTGTCGTGTTTCTCACTCTCATGGCAGCTTGGCTTTTGCTTCAGGGCCCCTCCCACGTGTGATTATGCGTTCAGTGTGTGGCTATGTATTAATGTCTGCTCCCCTGGCTGCTTGTTAGGACGGGTCTCCTGCTCACTCCCGCACTCCCAGCTCCCTGCGGCCCTCGGCTATGCTCAGCTCGGGGTGTTGAAAGCATGAGTGCCGGTTCCCACCCAAGCAAGGAGGAGTGACCCACAGAGCCGCTGGGCCAAACTACACTAAAAAACCAAAACAAACAACAACATCAAAAATGGCCTTGCTGTGTGGGCCCGGCACCACCCCCCTTCCGGGGCCCAGCAGGAAGGGCTAAGGAGCCCTGGCCAGGTGAGAGGAGTGGACACAGCACTGACACTTGCTCATCCCTTCCCGGTGAGCCAGTCCAGCCGTGCTCGGTCAGTTATGGATGGCCTGTACCACTGAGCTCATGGCGAGGGCTCTGGCCCCTCTGGCACTGCTGGCTCTCCACTGTTCCCAGGTCTCTTTTTCCCATCACTCCCTCCTTGGCCCAGAACCATCCTTCCATGTTATTCCTCTGGGCATGATTTGCCACCCACCTGAATGCTTACCCACGGAGAGGAATTTCTAATGGTGGAATTTTGAGCCTGGTGTGGTCTCGGGCAAGGGCAGAGGGCTGGGAACCCCACTTTTTTCGGGCAGCTGCCTCCTGTCCCTGTGAATACATCTGCTTTGCCTGGATCGGCCTCCAAACTCACGGCGGGCAAGGCCATCTTCTTCCTGGGATTAAGCACCAAGTTGGTGCCACATGTTTTCCTTTCTCCAGGCCTTTATTTGTGTATCATTCTGGTCCCCTGGAGTGCCTTCCTCTCTTCTGTGCCACCACAGTTTCTGTCTGTTGAATCCTATTCTTTTCTCCAAGATGAAGCTCACAAGCCACCCCTCTCTCCCACCAATCCTTTCTGATCTCCCAACCAGATATAACCTCTCCTTTTTCTGAATTTCCCAAAAGCACGGCGCTGATAATTGTCAGTCATGCGCGGCTTTGTCTGCAGGATTCTGGGGGACGAGCAGCTGTCTTTGCCATACCTGACATTCTAGAGTTTCACGGTTCTTTGTAGCATGTAATACGAGTTGGTTCTGGTCAAAAGCTTCTGAACCGTGATGAGGATGGTGCTGTTTGACACACAGTAGGTCCATTAGACTGTGGGTTTCTTGAAGGCCTGGATGGTGTTCCACATCTTTGTCTCCCAGCACCTAGCATGATGTTGGCACATAGGGAGTTCTCAATAAATGGCTCTAAATGGATGTTCACAGCAATACCTCTAATTTGTCAGGCCTTCCACGCGCCAGGCACTGTGCTGAGCCCGGTCCATGTGTCATCTCACTGAGCGCTCACAATCAGTCACACTCTGAGACAAGCACTAACACTGCCCACTAGGAAGTAAGCCCCATAGGCCGGGGTTTGTGTCTATGGTGGTTAATATACATATTAATGCTTGACACCTAATAGGCCCTCCTAAATATTAGTTGAATAAATGAATTAATGAATGAATATTTATTTTGCAGATGAGGAAACTGAAGCTTGGAAAGGTTTAATGACTTGCTTAACATCAGTCATCTAGTAACTGGAAGAGGCAGAATTCGTATTCCGATTGACCCGATTCCAAAGCCCACATTCTTCGCTGCTGAACTCTCCCAGGTAGTGCCTTTAAGGAACTTTCCACCTGGTGGAGGAGCAGAAACACACACACATACCAGCACATGTGATGGTAACAGGACCCGTGCCCATCCCAGGCATTAGGCACGGCAGGTGCAGACACAAGACCCAGGGGAAAGGATTGACTGCTCCAGGGCCTATTGCAAGTGAGTGGCTAAACCTGGACAAGAACACCAGTTTCCTGAAAACTGGTGTTTCTGTTTTTTTCCATTCATCTAATCTGCAGAGGACCTGACCCAGGCCTACTGAGGAGAGAAAGGAGAGAAATGATGCTGCTGAGAGCTTGTGGAAGGCCAGGCTGGGGTGAGGAGCCTGGAAACCGGCTCTCTGACACTCCGCAGCGAAGGGCTGCTGCAGCCTCAGCTCCCAGCAAAGCCCAGGTGGGAGCAGGCAGAAGGGAGAGAGAAAGGAAGAGGGAGGGACAGGAATGTGGTTTCACATCTTACCCAGCAATTCCTGCAGCTGGGAAGAAGGGTGATTCAGGATGTCGATGCTTGCCAAAGGCTTTGGCTTATGTCCTGTGTTTTGGAGACTGTATCTGGGGAGGCACAGTGGGATGTGGGCAGGGAGGCAGGGACAGAAACCCCAGCAGAGAGGGGTTGTGCAACCGGGATACAGGTGATCAGTACAGGTGTGCTGAGTTCTTTGCTGTAAGGCCGCTGGGGGTTGAGGGGCTGCCATGGCTCAGGCCCAGGTACACCCGGGAGGGAGCAGCCTGATGCCTGAGCTCACTTGGACCACCCACCCCTCGTGGTCCACCCTGAGAAACCTGCCTACTGTGAGTGACCTGGGCTCCAGGCCCTGCCTCTGCCTCCCCCATCACTGGCCTTCTCAAAAGCACAGTTCTCTTTTTACTGCAAGGGGGGAGACAGCAGTGCAGGCTGGTGTGCGGGTCCCTGTGAGCGTGTGGTATCAGTGAGCATCTGGGGACAGGTGCCTGGAGGTTCTGATTCTGCCCACCTAGGAAACCTGCGAACCTTCCACCTCCTCCCCAACTTCCAGCCTAACTGTTGACACTGAGCTGATGGTCCCTAAGCAAGCGTCAAATGCACCCTTTTCACCCTGGCTTGTCCCCCAACATGTCGTGTAACCTTGGGTTAGTCACTCAACCTCTTTGGCCTTGTGTTTCCACGTCTGTAAAATGAGAAGTTGCCTCTGTCCACACCTTTGGTCCCCTCCCCTCTCCTCCCTGGCGCTTGCCCCAAACAGAGCTGGCTGGCAACCAGAGCAGAACGTGGAGTGGGATGGGCCGCTGTGCCACTCTTCGAGCCAAGAAGTCCCAAACAGCCCAGTCCAGGGGCACCAACTGCTCAACTCCAGGGGCTCAGGGCCGGGCTCCTGCGCAGGAAGGGACGTGGCCCTCCGGCAGAACACAGTGCATGCTGCCTCCTGGGGCTGTACGTGCAAGAGGCCCTGCCTGGCACCAGGAGCCTCTAGCTGACTGCCCACAGGACATCTCCACCTGGACGTCCCACAGGCCCCTTGTGCTCAACTTGATCCCACCTGAGTACATCAGCTCCTTCCTCCTTTTTCACACTGGCACCAGGGACTCCATGGGCAACTCCGTCCCTTCTGATGCCCCTTCTCCCTTTGTCCCACATCTAGCCTCTTCCAGTCCTGTCAGTCCTGTCCCAAACTGTCCCTTCTCTCCATCTTTTCTGCCTCTGGATCATTTGTCTTTTTTTAATTTTTTTTTTTTTTTGAGATGGGGTATTGCTATGTTGCCCAGGCTGGTCTCAAACTCCTGGCCTCAAGTGATCCTCCTGCCTTGGCCTCCTGAGTAGATGGGATTACTGTACCCAGTGGTAATCTGGCTTGTCTTATTTTAAAATTATGAAACAGAAATAGAGCATTTGTTAGATGCCTGGTTCTGTTCTAAATGCTTTATAAATCCTAACTCCATTAGTTCTCACAACTTCCAGCTTACATATGAGGAAACTGAGTTATAGAGAAGTTAAGCATCCTGCCCAGGGCCAGGAGTGGGGCCCAGGCAGCCTGCTCGAGAGCCAGGCTCACAGCTTCTGTCACAAGGCTATCCGGAAGTCTCCATGCTTGTCCCTGCAGTTTCACTCTCTTCCTCTCTCAATCCCTTTCATATGCTGCTCACAGACCAAACTTTCTTTCTTGTTTGAGAAAATACTGCAATAACAAAAATTACTATAGCAGGTAGATCGCTCTGAAGCATGGCTTTGAACATACATTCCCCTACTGTCCCCAAGCCGTCCTGTCCACGCCTGCGCCCCCACCCTACCCTGGCCCGGCCCACCCCTCCCTGCACAGGGCTGAGTCTGAATGAACCTCATCCTCCTCAAAGAATGGCTCCTAATGGGGTGTCACACAGAGATGGGCATACATGACGAGTAACTGTGAAACCGAGCTGCCTTATGGGAATGGAAATTAATTATTTGATTAAACAATACTCGGAACCCTTAAGGCTAACACAGTAGCTCACACCAAGAGCTTATTATGTGATGAGCTCTGTGTTAAATACTTTACACACATTGTTGGCCGGGCATGGTGGCTCACGCCTGTAATCCTAGCACTCCGGGAGGCCGAGGTGGGAGGATCGCTCAAGGTCAGGAATTCAAAACCAGCCTGAGCAAGAGCAAGAACCCGTCTCTACTATAAATAGAAAAAAATTAATTGGCTAACTAAAAATATATAGAAAAAATTAGCCTGGCATTGTCACATGCGCCTATAGTCCCAGCTACTCGGGAGGCTGAGGCAGGAGGATCGCTTGAGTCCAGCAGTTTGAGGTTGCTGTGAGCTAGGCTGACGCCACGGCACTCTTGCCTAGGCAACACAGTGAGACTCTGTCTCAAAAAAATAAAATAAAATAAATAAATACTTTATACACATTATCATTTAATCCTCTCTACAATCCTATAAAGTTCATACTATTCTCCAATTTACAAGGGAATAGTATTTACAAGGGAATGAGGAAACTGAGGCTCTGTGGGGGAGAGTTCACTTATCCAGAGTCATACAGTCTTTTAGTAGAGGAGCTGGGCTCGGGACCAAGGCTGCCCGCCTCTATGGCCTGTGTTTCTGACATCACGCTTACCTGCCTCCGGATGCCAGGGAAGTGCACACAAATATTTCAATATCTGGCTGATGTCCAAAGACCACCTAATGGGGACATATATGTGATGTCAAGGTAATACAGTCCAACATCTGAGAAACATCATAGCACTGACAATGTCAAAATGTCTGAGGAATATAAGGATTTTTTATAATGCTATACTTTACAAGTCCAAATATTTGTCAACCTACCATAGTACCAGGTGCTATTTTAACCCAGAGGTGTAGAACAATGACAAAACACCCCCAAACTCCTCCCCTCATGTAGCTGATATCCTAGTGGGGTGGGAGTGGGGGAGAGAGAGGGAAGTGTAAACAAAAATATATATCAGAGGTGACAAACACCATAGAAAAAAATAAAGCTGGGTCAGGAAAAAGGAACTGTTCGATGTGCTGGGTGGGGTATGTTGGTGGCATTGCTACTTTGCATAAGATCAGGAAGACCTGCCCTATAAGTGACGATTGAGCAGAGCAATGAATAAGGGAGGGAGAGAGCCATGCAGGGATCCGTAGATACTCCAAGCAGAAGACACAGCACGTGCAAAGGCCCTGCGCTAAGAGGGTGCTCAGCCCCATCAAGGCACAGCCAAGAGGCCTGTGTGGCTGAAGCAGAACAAATGGGAGAGAAGGAACAGGAAGAATTCCTAAACACAAAAATTCCGAGGCCCACAGAAAGGGTCTGCATAATGCCAGAGGTCTGGGAAATACAAATAGCTACCATGTATTGAGTGCATTCCAAATGCTTGGCACTGCACTCAATCCTGCTGACACAAAAACTACTCCAGACAGGATCCTTAGGGTCTAAGAGGGAAATAAACAAAGAAACTTCACAGTGCCATGTGACAGGTGCTACCTCAGGGTACCACAACACCACAGAAGAGGAGCATCTAACCCCGACAACAGGGCAAGAGGGCTTCCTGGAGGAGGTGGCACTTGAGCCATCAAACAGGAGAAGAAAACACGTCCAGAATGCAAATGTGGAGAGGGAGGATAGGCCAGAACCCAGAATGGTGGGACAGAGCTTCAGCAGTGGTGCTGGGGGCCAGGGGCCAGCTTGTTAGAGGAAGGGCTCATACCTGCGGGGGCTGAGAGAGCCCTTGGACTCAGAGGTCCAGGCTTGAGTAGTGTGTGGGAAACTGGTGTGTGCAAAGGGCAAGAAGAATTGGAACAAAGGCCGGACGCAGTGGCTCACGCCTGTAATCCTAGCACTCTGGGAGGCCAAGGAGGGAGGATCACTTGAGCTCAGGAGTTCGAGACCAGCCTGAGCAAGAGCGAGACCCCATCTCTACAAAACCTAGAAAAATTACCCGGGCATGGTGGCCCATGCCTATAGTCCCAGCTACTCGGGAGGCTGAGGCAGGAGGATCACTTGAGCCCAGGAGTTTGAGGTTGCAGTGAGCTAGGATGACATCACTGCACTCTAGCCCAGCCTCTAAAAAAAACAAGTGGAATAAAGACTTTGATAATTTACCTACCTATCTAAGGCCCTGTTTTCTCTCTGGTCTTTAAGTGGGTCTAGCTGGGAGATGACAGGGAAGCAGAAGGTAAGGGGCCATCCCCACCTGCCACAGGTCTTGGTTTCTCACCCCATCGTAGGAGGTTCAGATCCCTCTTTTAGTCACATCTCTGAGTCCTCACTCCGGGGCAGCCTAAGACATTCCTATAGGAGATTCCTCAGTTAATAACAACTGGAGGCCGGGCGCGGTGGCTCACGCCTGTAATCCTAGCACTCTGGGAGGCCGAGGCGGGCGGATTGCTCGAGGTCAGGAGTTCAAAACCAGCCTGAGCGAGACCCCGTCTCTACCATAAAAATAGAAAGAAATTAATTGGCCAACTAATATATATAATATAAAAATCAGCCGGGCATGGTGGCTCGTGCCTGTAGTCCCAGCTACTTGGGAGGCTGAGGCAGGAGGATCGCTTGAGCCCAGGAGTTTGAGGTTGCTGTGAGCTAGGATGATGCCACGGCACTCACTCTAGCCTGGGCAAGAAAGCGAGACTCTGTCTCAAAAAAAAAAAAAAAAAAAAAAAAAAAAAAAATAACAACTGGAATACATACAGCACTGGGGGCTTCAGCGTGCATTCACTGCCAGAACCCATGTCTTACAGTCAGTCTGGGATTAACACTGCTCGGCTCTTATCCTCCTTTTCACAGGAGATGCTGCTGCTCAGAGAGGTTAAGGGCCTTGCCAAGGTCACACAGCAAGTGGGTGACTAAATTGGGATCTGAGCCCAGCTCTCAAGATTGCAAACACCACAGTGACAATGCAGCAGCTGCAGAAAATGGGGCCTGGTGATGCCTGAGCCCCAAGGACAAGGCTGGGAAAGGAAGTGGAACCAGCTCTGAATGGGGGGCAGATGGAGACAGGGGTGATGGAGGCTGAGAGTGGAGGCAGGAAGAGAGCAGAGCAGGGGGTTGGAGAGGCTTTGAGACAGAACTGGGGGTGTCTCCAGAAATATCTCCTTAAATGTCCTGGCAGAGTTGAACAAAGCAGGAGCTGCATCCTCCCAACCCCTGTCTCTGTGAGACAAGGAGGGGTCCTATTGTTCCCATTTCGCAGGTGAGAAAGGGGAGGCAAGGAGGCCCAGGGGCCCTGTTAGAAGCGGGCAGGGTAGCACAACGTAGGGGACTTTTCCCACTCCATCAGGGATGATGAAATGGGGGGAGTGGCAGATGGAGACAGAAAACAGGGCCACATCCAAAGAGAAAGGCGGAAGGCAGAGGCCCCGATGGAGCCTGTCAGCAGGCAGAGATGGTGGAGCAATAAGGCCCGGCCACTCAGCTCCGGTTACAGCCGGCAGTATCAGCTGGTCGGTGTCACAGAGTTCCCGCGCCCCTCCCCCGCCCCCGCGGGCCCATCCACTTGGGCTGCTGCGCAGCGCGGCGCTCTGGAGTCCCGGGGGAGGGGGCGAGGGCCGGCGGGGGCGGGGGAGGGGCGGTGCGGGCCTCCTCCCCCTCGGCTCGCGAATCCGCAGCGTCCCCGCGGCATCCTCCAAGCCCGGCCCCTCCTCCCCCCGCGCGCGGATGGTACGCTCCGGTCCGCCTGGCTCGGCTGCGGTGGATGTTGCTAGAACCCACAACCCACGCGGAGGAAGGAAGAGACACAGGCAGGCTGCGCTGACCCAAGCGGCCGCCCCTGCCTCAGGGACCCCTTCCCCGAGAGACAGACGACACCATGACCCAGGGCAAGGTACCGGCATCTCCCCCACCTGCACCATCCTCCATCCTCTGGCTCCCGTCTCCCGTCTCCCCTTCATCCTAAGCAAGCTCTCTGGACCACTGTAAGCATCCTCCTCTCGCTCCACTGCGAAGGTCCTCTGTGGTCCCTGCTGGAGTCAGAGGACCAAAAGGCCCACTTCAAGGAATGGACTGGTCATCTTCCAGCCCACGGGCTCTCTTCTCCTCCCCGGTCTCCCTTCCATCCTGCGCTTTGGCATCACGAGACTTCACAGGCGCCGTGGCCCCGTGTGTGAGCCTGGGTGTCTGGTGTGACCGCGAGTACGTGTGTGCGTGTGTATGCCAGGGCGAGCCCTGGGGGGCAGTGTCTATAGGGCCCCCCCTCTGGTCCAGCGCTCCAATCCCAAACCCAACCACTTTATGTTCATCTTTCACACCCTCTACAGACCCCCCTCATTATTCCTCAACCGGATATCTGCATACATCCCCTATGGTTGGGGGTTACTATGGCAACCCTGCATCAAGATGCTCTAAATTTTGTTTTTGTTTTGGCCAGGCATGGGACTGAATGAGCCTGGATAAAACATCTCCATTTTTTTTTTTTCCAGTTTTAGGCCTGAATTGCAGAGGAGGGGCTGGGCAGAGACTTGGCTGGCCTAGTAGGGTTATGTAACATCAATAGCCTGTGGAATTATACAACCACTAGGGCCTGGGGCAAAGTCGGGGAGGGGGGTCTTCTGGCCCTCTGTTTGGGGGAGCTAAGGATTACGCAGAGCAAACAGAAGAAGGACCTCCCCCAGACTCCCCCTTCTTGTTGAGCTGAGCCTCAGAGCCAATGGTATCCTTCCCTGGGCCCTCGGACCCTCCTTTCCTTGTTGCTAAGCTCTTTGGGCCTCAAAATGATGTCATTGGTTGATACCACCTCCTGCCATTTTTCAGACGTCACTTGGGAATGCCATATGCGTGGAGCTTGGGGAGATAGGGCCCAGGATGCTCTGAGAGGATGAATGGCAGGGTTGGCACTGACATGGATTTCCCTGGGCATGATCCTTTCAATCTGGGTGATGAGATGAAGGGGAGCGGGGAGTGGGAGGGAAGCATCCCCGCAGGCCTGGGTGCTGAGTCCCCTCCCCCAGGCGGCATGGGCAGTGTCCAACACAAAGCACCCCTATGCTGGGCCTCTCCTTCCACTCCCCACCCTCCATCCACCAGTCACTTCACTGACAGCTCCCTGTCCTGGGTGAATGCACACCCCCTGCCTCCTCTGCCCTTTGCCCCCCACTCACTCATAGGCTTTGTGCGGCATGGGAAAGACTCCTCCAGTCCAATGGTCTTGGGCCCCCATAGGAACCAGAAATCTTCCGGTGCTTATCTGACCCGGGCTGCCTCAGCTAGACGCCCCTGCAAAGAAGGAACCCTGCAGCCTTCCTTCGTGGCCCTTCAGGGCAACACATTCTCTGGGGAACCAGACCTAAATCCTATTTTCTTTGTCGCTGTTTCAGTTTTCACACACACCCCCTCCACCCCAATCCTTTCTTCTCTGGCTGTATCATTCAGCCCTCCCAGCTCATATCCTCTCCCCAATGCTGGACGTGTGTGTGTGTGTGGGGGTATACCTGAGAATAATTGGACTGGAGTTTCCAACCTGCCTCGGGCACATTTCCCTCAGAGCCTCAGTTTCCTCAACTCTTCAGTGAAGGAAAGGACTAAACTAGATGTCTTCCGAGGTCCCTTTCCCCAAGGATATTCTCTAATTCTATTCTGGTTTTGGGGAGAGACTGAGGTTCCAACAGGATGAGGGCGGACCAGGACCCTTAGCCAGGGACCTCTGGCCTTCCTCCATGCTGCAGGCCCCTCTTCTCCCTCTCCTCCTCCCTTCCTGTTGTCCTTGTCTCCCCCATCTCTACTGTCCTGTGCCATTCCCAGTGCAGCAGAAGGAGGCCAGTCGCAGTGGACAATGCCTAGGCCCTGCAGCCCGTGGGCCATGTGAAGCTCTTGGATGAGTCACTCTTCCTCTCTGATCCTCATTTTAAAGCGGGTGTCAAAACACAACTAGCAAGTGGCAGGAAGATTAAATGAAAGAGCCTTTCATTCTATAATATTTTTGAGGGTCTACTCTGTGCCAGGCCCTTCCCTGGGCCTCAGGGAAATAGTGGAATCATAGAGGCCGAGCCCTGCCCCAGGGACAGTAACAACCAGTAGTGAGCACTTAAGAACTTTCTCCTTCCTCGGTTCTCACCCCAGCTCCGTTGTGTGCCCTGGCTAGCCTGGACCCTCCAGGAGCCTGGTTCTCCAGTGTATAAAGTAGGGAAATTCTTGTCTGCGTTCCTGCCCCTCCTAGAGCGGGTGACAAAGGACCATGGAAGTTGCAGGAATTGAGGAGCTGGTGAGGAGGAGTTGGAAGGCTCCCTTTCCCTGGTGACCATCTCTCTGCCTCTACTCCACAGCTCTCCGTGGCTAACAAGGCCCCTGGGACTGAGGGGCAGCAGCAGGTGAATAGCGAGAAGAAGGAGGTTCCGGCAGTGCCCTCGGCCCCGCCCTCTTATGAGGAGGCCACCTCTGGGGAGGGGCTGAAGTCAGGGGCCTTCCCCGCCGCACCCACGGCTCTGCCTCTCCACCCAAGCTGGGCCTATGTGGACCCCAGTAAGTTTCTCAGTTCCTGCAAGCTGGAGCATCAGGGGAGTGGTGGACCCAGATAGACAACCTGGGTAGGAGGAAGTTGTCCAAAAAGAGATGCCCTGTGTGGTTGTTGTATGAGGCTGTGTTGTCAAATGCTTAGGGTTTAGAGAACTGTTTTGAGGGTAGGTCAAAGAGGACTGCACAAAAAGGGTAAGAGATACAATGTCTGCAGTCAGGGTGCTCCTAAGTAGGGAAGAGGGGGTTTTTCTCAAGTCAAGTGCTAGGGCAAATGGAGGGGACAGATGGGGGAGAAAAGCCAGGGGCTATTCTAGAAAGGCCCTCCTAGAATAAAGAGATGTGGAGAGGAATCGGGAAGACATTAGAGTTGACTAAGGAAAGGGCAGGGTGAGACTGCCACTGGCCACGGCCTTCTCTAGCCTGACCTCCTGTGAGTGGGGCACTGTTTACACAGTGGCTGATCTGAAACCTTAGTGGGGACAGGTCCCCGTGGAGGCCCCAGGGTTGTCTAGGGATCCACCTCCCTGGTCACTCTTCCTATCTCTTTTCCCTTTGCCAAGTCTTTGCTGGGGGAGGAGGGCACGTGTGGGGAAGGTGCATGGATACCAGCCTCAGTGTCCTTTGCAGCCAGGCACACTCACAAGGGCTGATGCCAGTTCCTTGCACGCTAAGGATGGCAGCCGGTGGGAGCTCCTCTGTTGGGTTGAGCAGCCCATGGGAGCTCTGCCTTGGGGCTGGGAACATACGCTCCCCACAAGTCCCTCTAGCCTCCCCCAGAAGCCCCTCCCCCTCCCCCACTTTATCACCCCACCCCCAGCAGAATTCTAGAAGGGTTCTCCGGGACAATGTCTCAGACAGAGCCTCTGCTCACAGGGAGCGGCCACCATGGTCCGCACCTCCCCCTACAAACCTCCCGGACCCAGAGCCCAGAGGGCTTATCACAGCACGACCTACCGGAAGGTCAATCCAGGTGTGCTAGCTGTGGACCCCTCCTGCTGCCCTACACACAGGACTGCTTTCCCTCTCTCCCCGCTGTGGCCTGGCCACTGGGCATTGGCAGGGGATGTAAACAGAACATGAAAGAGAAGGTTTGGGTGAGAGGGTGAGGGTCTCCAGGCCCCAGGTCTACAATGGGTCCACCTCTCTTCCCTGTCCTCATTTCCTATATTTTGGTTGCCAGGACTGGTGCCTTAAGGAACGTTTTCCAAGGAACTGTCGAGGCAGGGAAGCACCTCCTTTCAGTCAGCAGGTGACAGACTAAGTTTACCAAGTGCATGCCAGGCACAGTGTCTGGCTCTGAGCGTATTCTAGGGGATGCGTTGATCTGCAAGACCTGCTGGGATCTCCGCCTCCAGAGAGCTGACTGTGTAGACAAGTGAATGGATGACTACCACACAGTGATACAGAGGCAGTGACAGAGGCCTGGGCACCTCACCTAACCTGCCCGACAGTCAGGGAAGGATTTCTGGAAGAAGCAGTATCCACACTGAGTCCTGAAGGATGGGCGTGAGTTAGCCTGGTGAAGAGACAAGGAAATACGTGTTTACAGCTGGAAAAATAGAATGTGCAGAGGCTAGAGGCAAGCGAGCACAGGGCTGAAAAAATACACCTAGGCTGAGAAAAGTGGGGATGTGCAGTGGAGCTGGAGGGTTCCGCTCACAGAGGCTGTGGGGCTTTGTCAAGGAACTTGAACTTGAATGAAGGGCAGTGGGGAGCCACTGAAGAGCTCAGTGCCATGGCCAACATTGAACGACCAAGACAGAGGCTATTGCTGAGGGAGGGGAGATCATGGAGACCTGGTGGGGAACAGAGTGGACACATTTGAGGACTTGGAAATGGCCCCAAAGAAGTGCACAAGTTGCTGCATGAGTCTGTGTCATCAAAGGCTTAGGATTTGGAGGACTGTTCTGAGAACGGCTGTCCCTTTGTGATCCTTAACCACAAGGGAGCCACAATGTCCAGGCAGGGGGTGGGGGCACAGTAGGGGAGGGCCACATTTATATGGCAGACCTTGGCCCCCGGGGAACCCCAGCAGGGGTGGAGGGAAAGGGAAGGGAGATGACAGTTTATTCCCAGGACCCAGGCAGGAAAAGCAAGAAGTGACAAGGGAGAGAGATCTGGGGGTGGGCTGGACTGGGCTGGGGTATGGTGTTTGACAGCTGGGGCTGGAGAGAAAGACTTGAGCAGGTCCAGACAGCCAGACTGACAAAAAGGCAGCTCTGAGCAGGGGACCATGGGGACAGCATTTCTATGGATGAGGGACTCTCATGTCCTCCCCTGGCCTTCCAGGCGGCAGTTCCGGCTATGACAACGGTTTCCCCACAGGAGACCATGAGCTCTTCACCACCTTCAGTTGGGACGACCAGAAGGTTCGGCGAGTCTTTGTCAGAAAGGTAACTGCCTCTCCCCAGCTCCCTGGGACCAGGGACTCAGTGAGGGGAGTCCTGGAGAGGCCCCAGCCCAGCCCTCTCCCTGCGAAGCCATCCTTCAGCTTTTCTGGTGACCCCTCCAACAGCCCATACTGGAAATGGCTCCCAGGTTTCACTCCAGCGCCCCCTGCCACCCCTAACCACATCGTCTCCTCTGCCCCTTGGATGCCATGGGGCCCCTCTACTGTGGCTCTGGGCTCTGGAGCATCTTCACTCTCCTTTCGCCTTGTCCTGGGTCCATTCCAAAGACCCCACAAAAGGAGGATGGTGTGCACAGGATGCAGGTCTGGAGAGTCGACTGGGGGCCTGGAGTCAAACAGGCTCCCCAGGCTGAGTGGCCCCCTCCTACCCCCAGGTCTACACCATCCTGCTGATCCAGCTGCTGATGACTGTGAGCATTGTGTCTCTCTTTACCTTCTGGTGAGTTGGCACCTTCCGGGGTCACTGTGGCCAGGCCTAGGGCAGGGGAACCCACAAGCAGACCTCTCCTGGAATGTTTGCCTGGACGGTGGACGTCCCGGTGCTGGGGAGGAACCTGAGAGAGTGCGTAGGGTGAGGAGTCCTCCCAGGTGCCTGCTGGGTCTGCGGGCGTCTGTGCGGCAGTCATTCCTGTGTAAGTCCGCTAGCTGCACCCCCACCCCCAGCCGCCACAGGTCTCAGCTTGGACACCCCGAGCCTGTAGGGGCTGCCTCCCTTCTTCTCCCTCTCGAGTCCTGTGGGGCAGAGCAGATTTGAAACAGAAATAAAGACCTGGGGTAAATTCTGACACCCTCTCTCCCTTCTCCGCAGTGACATCGTCAAGGAATATGTCCAGACCAACCCAGGCTGGTACTGGGCATCCTAGTGAGTATACCCCAGTCCCCCAGGCCCCTTCCCAGAGAGGCTTAGTGGCAGGAAGAGGGTATCTCTGTTGATAGACCCCTAGCCCATGGCTTCCGCCTACCCCATGGGAGACTGTCCTCACAGGTCCCCCTCCAGCCCTGCCCCATTCTGCTGGCTTCAGAGCATGGCCAGGAGGCCCTTTCTGGGATGTTTAGATCTGATGGGGCAGAGAGGGGATGGGGGGTGTTCTGGTGCCTGTGCAAGTTGGGAAGGGTGGGGTGGGGTCCATGGTTGGAGAGACCAAGACCTTGGCCCTAAGGGAAAGGGGGGCTGGAACACCTTGACCCACATGAATGATAATGTTGCTACTCTTATTAACTTTGTTGTTATTAATGCTTACGAATCATAATAGCCACCACTTAAAGCTACCACTTAAAGGGTTGGGCATTGTTCTCTGTGCTTGAGGTCCAGTATTGCATTCTATCCTCAAATCTCCTGGCTATGATTACCTTCAAAAACTAAGGTTCAGAGAGGTTGAGTAATTTGCCCAAGGTCACACAGTGGTAGAGCTGGATTCAAACCCAGGATTCAGGTTAAGGCTTGTGCTCTTAATCCCTCTGCTTGGCAGCCTCCCTTCAGCCCTCAAGCCACTTGGCTCCTGCTTGTCCTATACTCTTTAAGGAACGTGGCAGGTAACTTGAGAGACGTTTGGAGGTGTAGGTAGAACCCCCTTTCTGGGTAATTAAGGAATCATTCTGGATAATTCCAGGCCAGAACTACCCTGGGGATCAAAGCAGAACTGTTCTCACTGTAGTCTACTTCATCACCCACTGTGAGCCCAGCACTGTACTGGGGTTGCTGGGGGGAGGCCCCTGCAGGGGAAGGCAGTGGGTGGCACGAAGCAGCATGCAGCATTCAGAGAGGGGCGGGGCGGAGAGTGAGCCCAGCGCACCAGAGCATGCAGCCCACGTCAGGGGGTGCACCTCAAAGGATGGGCCAAGAGGGCTGGGGACAGCGTTCCCTTCCCGCAAAAGCCTGGTGTGAGAATGCACGTGGTACCTTGAGTAAATTAGGAGCAAGACTGGCAGAGCGCTGGAAGGCCACATGCAGGGAAATCGGATATCTCAGTGAGCAATGGTGCCTGGGGGACTCAGGTTCTGACTGTCTGGCCAAGGAGCTTGCGCACTGCGGCTGTTCCTGAATAGGGATCTGGTGGGGAAATGGGCTCTGCCCAAAGTCCCCTGGACCACCCTGAGCCCAGAGCAGTCTCAGAGCTGAGCCCAGAGTCAACACCCGCCTGCCAGAGACTAACAGTAAGGAGACTCTTCCTGGCCCTTAGGACTCCTCAGAGGAGGAGAGTTGGCTCTTCAAGTTGGGGGTTCCAGGGGAGGAGATATTCATACCCAGAGCCTTTCCTAGGGCCCAGGACACAGGACCTGCCTGCATACCAGGCGGGGAGGCGTGTGTCTTGGGGAACCATGAGGCAATGTATGGTGAAGCTAATGAGGCGCCAGGGACTGCCACCCGGGCCAGCCCCTGCGGCAGGTTGGCATGGCTCCCAGCACGTCAGCGCCTCCTGGCAGCCTCAGCCCCCTGAGAACTCAGAAATGGAGTCCTTAGGCTCCTCTCTGAGCCTTCGTGGAAGTCTGTGGGACTCCATGCCCTGAGCAGGTGGTGGCAGGGGGACAGCCTGGGAACGAGCAGGCTCAGGAAGTAGAGGCAGCATCCACTCCACTGGGGAAAGAGGGGCATTGAGAGGGGTGGAACATGAAACTCTGACGTCTGAACGATGGGATTTGGGGTCCTTAACATCCCCCGGCAGAAGGCAGAGATGCTTCTCTGGCCCAGGGTGGAGCGAAGTCAGACGTGGGTGTGGACTGTGCTTTTCATGGGTGTCATAGAGCGTTAAAGGTGCTTGGAAGTTGTGTCAGCAGGGTGCTGCCAGGACTTTCTCCAGAAAGCCCACTTGGGGCTGCCCTGCCCCTTCCCCGTCCCCCACTCTCCCTATCCTGCGGGAATCTGCTCCTGTCTGAGTCCTGGCCTCACTTCCTGCAACTCACCAAATGCTCCTGAGGGCTCCGTCCTAGTCTCTTCTTTTTAGAATAACAATAAGCACAATAAAACTCAAACAGCTCTTTGTCTATGTGTGGAGCACCGTACTAAGCACTTTACATATATTTTTTTGTTTGATTCTTTCAAGAATGTACCAGGCAGATAGTATTATCATCCCCATTTTACAAATGAGGACATTGAGGCTTAGAGAGATTATTGCATTCTGAGCGGCACAGCCAGGGTAGAAACCCAGGTCTTTCTGACGGTGAAACCCACGCACTTACCCTGTGTGCTCTGCTGCCTCCCTTAGGGCCCAGGACTGCGTCCCAGAGCAGGACGGGCTGGGGGAGGGCATTGGGTTTGGACGCTGGCCTGCACCTGAGCCTCACCTGAGCCTCACTCCCTGTCCTGACACTCTGTAAACACACGAGGTTCCTGCCCAGGCCCTGGGGCTCAGGCTCTGACGTGTAAATCAGTGGTTCTCTCTCTCACTTCTTCTGTGACTCATTCTCTGCCCCCTGGGATGCCAGCCTCCCCCTCCCCCACCCATAGCCCCAGCTTTATCAAGGCCCCAGTCACCTCCCTCCCGTGTTCTGGAGGGTCTCACTTAATGTCTGATTGCTCCCACTGAGCCGGGGTATCTGCAGGGGTGGAAGGCTGGCTGGTGGCTGGGAGAAACCCAGGCAGAGGAGGAAAAGTGCAAGACCAGAGCTGGGGTGAAGGTGGGTCAGAGCCTCTCCAGGAAGCTGTCAGCCAGCTTCTAATCTTAATAATGGCAGCTCCCAGGGGTGGTCCTTACCCTGTGCCAGGCCCTGTGCTCAGCGCTTGAACCTAAACAGCATTCTCTCAGGAGTCCTCCCAACATCCCCGCAAGTGGGTACCAGTCTCACAAAGAAGGAAAACAGGAATGCTGGCAGTCGGAAACAGGAAAACAGAAGTAGTTGTTTTCCAACAGTCAAATAAAAATAAAAGAATTAAAAAGTAGTAGGGGCTTGGTTATTGTCTAAGGCCACACAATGGTAGTGGCAGAGCTGAGCTGTGAATGCGAGGTGCCAGGCTCCAAAGCTGTACCACAGTCCCTGGGTTTTGGTCCCTCTATTCTACCCCCGACCCCTTGTCTTGAGGGTTGAGGAGCTGTGGGCCAGAGAGAAAAGCAGCCTGGGCCCTTGCCCTCAGGAAGCTTCCAGTCTGGCCGGGGAGACAGGACCCACACCCAGGATACACATGGACAAGGTTATTATTATCATTATTGCCAAAGTGACTGACCAATGACTCAAGTGAGACCCAAAGAGAGCAGATGCCAGGTGTTTCTTAACTGGGGCAGGATGGTTCTGCTGTCCTGCATGGAGCAGGATATTCACAGCCCTGGCCCCTGGCACAGGCTACCGGTAGAACCTCCCAAATCACCACGACAACAGTTCCTCATTATTTGAGAAGTGCTGAAGAATAGGAAAGGTTAAGATGAAGGGATCCTACTCACTAAGTCTAACAGGCATGTCTCAACCTCTGCATTCCCTGTTTTCTTTGCATTTCATCCAGAAATATTTGAAAAGCACCTACGAGGTGCCAGGCTCCAAGCCTGATGGTGGGAATACAAAGTGAATAAGTTGCAGGCTGGCCTCCAGATGCTACACCTGCGTGGGGAGTCAGATGAGCTGGCCCGTAGGGTGCGGGGGTGCAGGCCTAGTGTGCCCATGGTGCACACAGGATGTCTCTGTAACTCAGGCCACAGGTGCCCTTGCCAGCTGGCCCCTTTCAGCATGAGCAGAGTGTAGCAGGCGTGTTTTGAAGGTGCAGAGCAGGTTGTGATGAGAGGGGTAGAGTGGAGCGGTGGAGTGTGGTGAGAGATGGGCTGGGGGAGGGCGGGTGAGGGTGTGGATTGCACATGGCAATGCCAGGTCTTTGGGAATTTTATACAGGGGAGTCACATAATTGGCTCTACCTGTAGCCTGGAGGGTAGAAGGCAGGGCTGCAGGCTGGAGGGTCAGATGGACTCTTACAGTGGTCCAGGCCAGGGAGAGGTGACCTGACCTTCAAGGGTGGTTGGTAGTAGGGATGGAGGGAAGAGGGCAGATTTGAGAACTGTCTGGGTGGGAAGATCAACAAGTCCAGGTGATTAATTGGGCGTGGCAGGGTGAGAGTCAAGGATGATGCTGTGGTCTCTGGCTGGGTGACTTAGAGAACGCTTGATGTCCTCCGCAGTAGGGGGTGCAGGAGAAGGAGCAGGGAAGACGGGGAGTTCCGTTCTAAGCTGTGGAGAATGATTCGTTTCTGAATAGCCATGCCTGCCCAGTAGGCGGTTGGATATTTGAGTCTGGAGTTGAGAAGGAAAATATAGATCAGAAATACATGGATGAGTGAGGCCACTTAGGAAGAGCATGGGGCGAGAAGAGGCTGAGAGGACCCTGCTTGAAGGAGCCAGGCAGGTTGAGCGAGGCCCCGCAGGAGGCTGGAAAGGAGAGGCGAGGGAGGTGGGAGGGACCCAGGAGTGCATCTCATGGAACAGGGAGACAATAGCAGTGATCACGTGTTGAGAAGCCAGGTAAGGTGAGGACTGACGAGTGTTGACTGGACTCAGCAAAGCCACAGTGATGTGGCAGAGCCAGCTCCCCCCATCCAGCGGGGCTGAGGCTGGGTTTGCCGGGCTCAGGGAGTGGAAACCGCTTTCTCAAGAAGCTCGGCCAAGAGGGCAGAAAAAGGAGCAGTAGCTTGAGCTGGGGGAGATGATGGCCAAAGATGGAACACAGCTGAGGTTTGTGTGGGAGGAGAGGTGCCACTAGAAAGGTTGAAGAACAAGAGATCCTGGGCAGTTGAGGAGGTGGGACCCAGAACCCAGGCTAGGGCATCGGCCTGGAATGGGAGGAGGGACGGGGGGCACAGCGCCCACATGGGGTTTGCAGGAGGCAGGCAGAGAGCCAAGGGAGCCCCCCTATTCTCACATTTTTCTGGGACATACGAGGTGGCTGTGCAGGGGAGTGAGACGCCTGGGAGGTTTGTGGATGCAGGAGGAACTTTGGAATTGCTGCAACAGGTCTGGAGTTGTGGGGGATGGGTGAGAGGACACAGGAGGGAGAAGAGGGAAGGGTGGCGGTGCCATGCTAAAGGCCCACTGGGGGTTGGAGGCCATGCCATGGTGGTGGCACTAACCCAGGTAGGCGTGGGCATGCCCTACCCTCGGATCCTCAGCCTTCATCTGTCACCTCCTGGACTGGCCTCTGTCCCTACTGCTCTCTGGAAAATCCTCAGTCACTATGTCTGGATTGCCCCTGAGCTCCCTGCCAGGCTTCTACTGGATGTGGCCACCTGATCCAGAAATTCATTCCACAGGTGCCACTTCCAGCTTGTGCCAGGTGCTGGCAGGACAGATGAGGGCCCTGCCCTTACTAAGCTCACAGTCTAGTGGGCTAGACCCATGATAAAGTCGCTAACAAGATCATTACAGCTAATGATAAGGGCTGTGAAGGGCCTGAATGAGGCAGTGTGTGCCCATGGTTACTTATGAGCAAGGACCCTGGAGCCAGAGTACGTGGGTTCAAATCCTGTTGTGTGACAAGGTAGCTGCCTGACCTTGGGCAAGTCATCTGACCTCAGCTGCAAAGGGTAGAACATACTTCATAGAGAAGATACAAAGATTGCATTAGTTAATATTTGTAAAGCACTTAAAACTCTGCCCAGCACATAGAAAATGCTGTATATGAGCTTTTTAAGTAATAAGAGAGTGTCTGGGGAGGCCACTTTGGGTTGGGTGGTCAGGAAGAGCTGTCCCACGGCACCCAACATTCACCATTTCTAGAAGCAGCCTCGTCCTGTCCCCCTTCCTCTCTTTTGGGATTGGACCCACCACCCTGCCCATTGTCAGGTTTTAGGGTGACCATGCCCTCCCTCCTGCCTGGCTGCCCAGTGGGCAGGGTGGCAGAGAGTGGGATGAGCAGGGGGACTGGAGGAAGGCCCGCAGGAAGCTGACTCTCCCATCCATCTGTCTTTCCCAGTGCCGTCTTCTTTGCAACCTACCTGACCCTGGCTTGCTGTACTGGACCCAGGTATGATAACCGCTTGAGGAGTAACTTGTGGGAACATGAGCAGGATCTTGAAAGTTCTGGCCCCAGCCCTGCCTGCCTGCCAGCAGTGTGCTGTGCATCCCTGAGAGGGCCCCATCCCTCTCTGGGCCTCCATCAAGCAGGCCTGCCCCTTCCTCCTTTACCGGGCACCTCCGAGGTAGGGAGGGGGTAGATGCACAGGTAGGGGCACACGGGCATGTGGCTGAAGGAAGGCTCCAAGGAATGTGGAAGGGGTTGGGTCAGAGACTCCCTTGCTGCAACAGTGACCCAGCGTGTGGCCGCTGGCACCCCCTACTCTCCTTTGAGCTCTGTGGCTTGCCTTGCAGGAGACACTTCCCCTGTAACCTGATTCTCTTGACCATCTTTGTAAGTAACCTGGGGATGGGCTGGAGACAGATGCTGAGTGGGGATGAAGGAGGGAAGTAGGGTGGGCTTCAGGGCCAGGAAGTCGGGGCTGGGAATGTCCAGTGTGAGGTCCCTGGAAGGCAGGAGTGTTTCGATACACTTAATTCACAAAGACATTCCACCTTCTTTCCAAATGCTCCTGGTCTCCTCCCACTCTTCATCCCTTGAGATTTGGGTTTTAAGGGGTTTGTCTGGAATACCATAGAGCTATGGTTATGAAGAAAAGTGGGGGGCCTTAGAAAGAGAGGGGAGCAGGGCTGCAGAAGAAGGGATGAACAGCTGTCACAGGAGCCTGCACACTGGCCCATGGGGACACTCCTTAGCCAGGTCCTGAAAGTCAGTGTGTGGAGGGGTGAAGCAGGCTCACACGGAGTGGAGGGGTGCATGCAAGGGCGGAGACCTGGGCTGGACCTCGAGGGTGCCTGGGCCCCAAAGTCTGACTTCTGCAGCATTCCTCCACTCTGCTTCTCCTTTCAGACCCTGTCCATGTCCTACCTCACTGGGATGTTGTCCAGGTAAAGGGAGTAGGTGCAAGGAGAGGAGGGCTGTAGGCCGGGCCACACCCAAGGGGAGCTGCTCCCAAACGCCATCCTTCCTGGGAGCATGGTTGGCAGAGGGGGGTCAGGCAGGCAGGAAACATTGGCCTAGGGCCTCTCCTTGTGCACTCAGCTGGACAGTGACTCCAGGACCTGGCCAGGTGGACGGGGGAGGTGGGGGATGGTAGGGAGCAAGGTGACTCCTCTCAAGCTGTAGCTTAAAAGGCCCAGACCCACAACCCTGCAACTGCCTGTAAACCACCTCCAGACACCAGCACAAACCCCTCCCCACTCCCACCTCTTCAGGATGCTTCTAACATGATTTTGAGTGTTAAAGGGGGCAGGGCCCAGCAGAAGGGGAACCTGAGATGGGGGGGATCCTGGGAGAGGGGACAGGGTTGGGACCAGAGGTCCGGAGATCAGGTCCTGGCAGAAGAGGGTGGGCCTGCGAGGAGGGCTGGGGCAGACCGGAGCCCTGCCCGGAAGCTGACCTCTGGGCCTGACGGTCCCCAGTTACTACAACACCAAATCTGTACTGCTGTGCCTGAGCATCACGGCCCTCGTCTGCCTCTCGGTCACCATCTTCAGCTTCCAGACGAAGGTCAGCTCCAGCCCCTGCGGGCAGGGACACCCAGCCTGAGGCTGAGCAGGGGAAGGCAGATGGGGTGGAGGGCTCCAGGCTCAGACCCAGGGCTGGGGAGAGGTAAAGTGGGTGAGTTGGGGAGGCCACCTGAGGGAGGAACGCCCACTTCTAGGGGTGGGCATAAGACTGTGGCCCCACTGCATGGGCTCAGCCTATAGCTCGGCTCCCTGGAAGCCCATGCCACTCTGTGCGGGCGGAGGGGCCTGGCAGCTGACCCTGCCTTGTCCCTGCAGTTTGACTTCACCTCCTGCCAGGGCGTGCTCTTCGTGCTGCTCATGACTCTATTCTTCAGCGGAATCATCCTGGCCATCCTCCTGCCCTTCCAATATGTGAGTCTCCGGGTCCCCCAGCAGGCCCAAGGGTGCTGTTCCCTCCTACACCCTCCAGGGAAGGCCCAGAGCCAAAGCCCCACAGCCTGCCGTCCTGTCGGCCCTGTCTGGCCCCCAGCCCAGGCATGTGGGCAGTATAAGCAAACAAGGAGGCTTGTCTTGGCAGGCCTGGCTACCTGCCTGGCTCCAGGAGCCACATCCGGCTTCACCTTCCTCATCCTTCTCTGTAGGCTGCTGGGAGGGCTTGGAGCATTTAAACCCTGGGCAGGGAGGGAAGCACTGGGGCTCCATGGGGCCCGCTAAGCCCAGAGGGGCCTTGAGGCAGGGTCTTCTGGGGCTCCCGGAGATCAGCCAAGGCCACAGAGGCGAATCCAGCTGGCCAGACAGCTGGGAGGTGGGCAGTGGGGCCCAGAGCATACCCCATCCACCTGAGCATCCACAGGGTGGCCGGCTAGATCTTGGCTCATTAGAGGTGCCCAGCCTGCCCTGGGGAAACTCAGCTGGGACTCTGCAGGCGCCCAGGCCACTGCATGTGAAGGGGACAGATTGGGGTTTCATCTTGGGGAGGACCTTGAGATCGGAATCCTGGGAACCCAAGAGATGACAGTTGGACCCCTGCTGGGCGCTCAGTGCTTACACCTCCCCTCCCTGCTCCAGCCGCATTTGGTACATGGTCCCCCATTGCCCCTTTTCTGCCAGTCTGGGAGCAGTATTCCAAACTCTCGCTTCCCCACCTGCATCCTGCCCAGCCCCAGCCGTGGGGCGTTTGGCACCCAGTCCAGGACATTGGAATTGGTCCTGGCATTTCCTTGGCTTTTCCTAGGATCCTGTTGACGAAGGGAGGGGCCGGAGCTGGCCTGGGGGCCCTCTGTGTATCTGGGAGGGAGAAGGTTACAGGAAGGGGCCACAGAACTTCAAAGAACCCTTTATTGACCCAGGTCTGGCTGATGGGATGCCTTTGTTTTGAGCAGTCTTCTGTGGGAGGGCCCCACAGAGGGCATGGCTAGTGAGGCACCTCTTGCGGGGCTCCCCCACACAGCTGGGTGCCCCGGGGGCTTGCGGGGACACCTGGGGGAGCAGAGGGTGAGAAGGGCCTGTTCCAGCCTCTGCAGGCAAGCCCACTGTGCCGAGCGGGCAGACTCCAGACGGCACCCCCACCACACCCTGGGTTCAAGTCCCCTTCTACCACAGCCCCTTGCCCCCAAGGCAGAGCCAGGGAACTCCCTGACAGAGGGACAGACAGACCCCCACACTGGACAGGGATGAGCACACTGGGAGGCGGGAGCAACCTTGAGCCAGACACGGGCTGGGAGGATGCCAGTGCCCCACCAGGACGCGTCATCCCCGGCCAGCCTGAGGCTGGGGCTGTGTGTTGAGGGAGGAGGTGCCAGGTTGGTCAGAAGCCCACCCCACCACCCACTGACAGTGCCTCCATGGTCACTCTTATCCTGGGGTTCCCTTTACCCACCCCTGAGCATACAGAGAATCATGGGGCGTTCTCTTAGTCCTGGGGCGTCTTAGAGAGCACTGGGGAACACATCCTCCGTACTCTGGACTGAGCCCTCCCCCCCTACCCCCTGCCTGCTGTCCCTTCCCACCATCCCTAAGCCCATTTTGCTTCTGCCTGCAGGTGCCCTGGCTCCACGCGGTCTACGCAGCACTGGGAGCAGGCGTGTTTACATTGGTGAGTGTGGCCCGGCTCCCTGGGGGCCGTCTTCTCAGCCTTCTCCAGTCCCCTCCACCCCACCCTGTCTTCCTCACAGTCCTCTCGGAACCCTTTTGGAGCACCTGTGGTGGGGCTGGGCTGCATTCAGAGAGTTCCATCTGGTCTCCAGCTGCCCTGGGCATGGGAGGAAGGCTGTGATAGCAGGACAGAAGCTGCAGACAGAGGCAGAGCTGGGAAAGAGGGACCCCTCCCCCTGCCGAGGGTCCTGGCCAGGTGGACCAAGTTGGGAGTTGCTCTCCCAGGAGCTAGGGAGATTCCGGGTACCCTGTGAGAAGGGAGAGAGACATCATTAGACCTGCTGCTGCTCTGCTCCGATCTCAAGAAACTGAGAGTGTTAATGACACTGTCGTGATAACAGTGAGCACCTGCTTCCCCTCTGCGAGCCCCCACATGCATTTCATCTTCACCGTAAGTCTGTATGATAGGATCTACTGTTACTAAATTAAGAGGAAAAAACTGAAGCTCAGAGATTCCAAATAACACACCCACGGTCATACAGCATCCTAGGAAGCGGTAGGGCCAAACTGGGAACCTGAACGGTCTGGCCCCGGAGTCCCACCTGGGGTCTGACACTAGGCTGGGAGTGGCTGGAAGCAGATGCCCAGCAGACAAGAGGTGACCAGGGACAGACACTTGCCTGGAGCAGCCCAACACAGGCCTTTTGCTCAGGTGGGCTCCACGCACCCGAATGTGATAGTGCTCCAAGATCCACCCAGGTGGGCAAGCCTGGGTTGGTGACATCTTAGAAAGGCATTCAAAGTACACATTTGTTGTCAATGAAAGCAGTGACCAGACTCCCCTCTCCCTCATTAGAGTTCAGTTCAGCTCAGTGGCCGGAGTTCCTAGCTTAGTCACAGTTCCAGAGACTTGTGGGTAACAGAATGGGGGAGCTGACGTGGGGAAAAGATTTGTGGTCAGACCATGAGCCGAGGTTTTGGGGGGTTGGATAGGGATCAAGCCAGGAGTGGGGTGTGCATTCATCCTCTCCCCAGGTCCTTACCGAGCACCTGCTGTGTGTGAGGTGCCGTGCTGTGCACCCAGGTGCCACTGTGGGCAGGAAGAGCACCTGCGCACACACAGTCGCACGCAGCACATCCTGGGCAATGGGTAACCGACTGCCCGGCTCAGAACCTGAGGGCTGGGAGAAACTAACAAGGGATCTAGTGAAACTCCAAGCCCCTCTTCTCAGAGATGAGAAAACTGAATTCCAGAGAAGTTAAGTGATTTGTCCAAAGGTTCCTGGCAAGATAATGGCAAATCAACTAAGTATGACCTTGGTCAAGGTTAGGGTTCCAACGTATCCTGGTTTCCCCCGGACTTCCCAGGTTCAGCACTGTAAGTCCCACTTCTCTGGGAAGCCCCAAGCCCTGGGCAAGCTGGGGTGGTTGGGCACCCTAAGACACTAACTTCTCTTGGATCCTGGCCCAATGCTCTTCCCTGCGGGCAATAGTTCCAAAGGAAAGTTTCCTTTGAAAGGGAGAGGTGGGGAATTGGGCTTGGAGGTTAGAAAGAGGAGGGCCCCATCGGGCAGTAGGGCAGTAGTGTCTGGAGGCCTCAGAGGGCAGCCTTTGCCAGGGACAGAAGAGGGGTCAAGCCAGGGCAAATGGGGCCGGTGACGCTGGAGGGGTGATTGTCTGCGTAGGGTCGGGGAGTTTACTTGGCTTCATGCAGGTTCAGTCACAGCGAGTGTGTGAGCTACGCCGGGAGGCTGCACATGCAAGCAGGGCTGGGTGAACAGTAATCCCTTAAATTTGCTCAATAATCCCTAGTGTTATTAGAATAATAAAAATAATCCCCACCATGCGCTCCACCCATTACAGTTTGCAAAGACTTTCACACCCATTGCCTCACTGTGTCTCCACCACAGTCCAGGGAGGGAGGTGGCGTTTATGCAGCAGGAGTCACTTTCCACATCTGAAGCCCTGGGTGTACCAGGCCTGGCACAGAGTCTTACAACCCATAACGGGTGGATTTAGGACCAGGACCCATGTGTCCTGTGCCCAGCCTGGTGCCATTTCCAGTGCCCCTGCCTCAAAGAGGACATCTATTATTGGCTGGAAACGGGGAGGGGCTGGAGAGGTCTCTCCAGCACATTCTGTCCCTCTCTTGCACCATTAGCATTGCCCCTCTACTGGATTGTCTCCGTCACCATAGAAACATACCAACATCTCCCCAGCTGGGAAAAAATTCACAAAACACCCTTGGCCCACATCCTTCTGGCTCCTGCCCCATTCTTTGCTCCCCATATAGCAAAACTCCTTAGAATCTCCACTCGTGTTCTCCAACTCCTCTCTTCCGTCTCTCCTTCCTCTCATCTATCCTCCCAAGGCCTCTCCTCCCATTCTATTTTGACCCTCTTAAAAATGCTCTCATCTAAACCATCAGTGGCCTCCATGTTACTAAATCCAGCGGCCAAGTCCCAATCCTCAGCTTGCTGGACTCGCTGTAGCATTTCATGCAATTGTCCCCTCCCTCCCCCAAGCCAGGAGCATCTTCTTCCCCTGGCATCCAGGCCACCACCTTTCCCTGTTTTTTCTCTTTCTACCCTTGCTCCCTAAGGGATCCCAGGAAGTCTCAAAACTTTGAGTGTTTTATGCTGCTGACTCTATAATTTACATCTCTAGACCAATGTGGGCACAGTGGCTCTCCTAGCACTTTTGAGAGGGCTAGGCAGGAGAACTACTTGAGCTCAGGAGTTTGAGACCAACCCGAGCAAAAGCAAGACCCCATCTCTGCTAAAAATAGAAAAATTAGCCAGGCCTCATGGCACAAGCATGTAGTCCCAGCTACTTGGGAGGCTGAAACAGGAGGATCCCTTGAGCCCAGGAGTTGGAGGCTGCAGTGAGCTATGATGATGCCACTGCACTCTAGCCTGAGTGACAGAGTAAGACTCTGTCTCAAAAAAAAGGAAACTGAACCCCCTTCTCAATTCCGCCTTTATACAAAACAAATAAGTAATAAAATAAAATTTACATCTCTAGGCCGGGCGCGGTGGCTCACGCCTGTAATCCTAGCACTCTGGGAGGCTGAGGCGGGCGGATTGCTCAAGGTCAGGAGTTCAAAACCAGCCTGAGCGAGACCCCGTCTCTACTATAAAAATAGAAAGAAATTAATTGGCCAACTAATATATATATACAAAAAAAAAATTAGCCGGGCATGGTGGCGCATGCCTGTAGTTCCAGCTACTCGGGAGGCTGAGGCAGGAGGATTGCTTGAGCCCAGGAGTTTGAGGTTGCTGTGAGCTAGGCTGACGCCACGGCACTCACTCTAGCCTGGGCAACAAAGCGAGACTCTGTCTCAAAAAAAAAAAAAAAAAAAAATTTACATCTCTAGGCTAGATCTTTCTCTCTATTGAATTCCACACTAGAATTTCGAGTTGCCTAGTCAGTGTCCCTATTTGGAAGTCTAATAGGCATCTCAAACATAACATGTACAAAACCAAGCTCCTACTCTTTCCCTGAACACCTGCTTCTCCCAAAGCCTTCCCCATCTTCCAGTCACTCAGGACAAACATGCTGGTAACATCCTTGACCCCTCTGCTCACCACCCCCCCCAACAGGCCCAGCATCAAATCCTGTGGCCCCACCTCCTATCCAGAGTCTGACCACTTCTCTCCACCTTCTTGGCTACTGCCTGGTCTTCTGGTCTAGAGGGTTGCAGTGGCCTCTTGCAGGCTGCCCCTGCTGGCCCCCACCGGCCACGCCCACCACAGCCGCAGATCTTCCCTCTGCTGGGCATCCAGCCTCGCCCCTCCCCTCCTTCACTCCGCTGCAGCCTCGATGGCCTCCTTGCTGCCTGGGCAGGAAGGGCAGCTCGCCCCACACCCAGGGCTCTGCACCTGCGGCTGCCTCAGTCTGTTCCCTGGTATGCGCTCGCAGCCCTCGCTACCCTCCTTCAGGTGTTTGCTGTGGTTATAATCCTGTGTACCCGAGCACATGGGCGTGGCCCCCTCCCTGTTTCCCTGCTTTATTTCTCTGTAGCACTTCTCATCCTCTGGGACACTGTATCTTTTTCCAATCTGTGGCTCACTGTCCCCCTCCAGCAGAATTTAGGTTCCTTAAAGGCAGGGACTTTTGTCTGGCTTGTTACCTGCTGCAGCCCCAGTGCCTATAATAGGGCCCGGCCCATAGTGGGCAGCTAGATGTTCATGGCATGAATGGACGCCTGGGAGGTGTGGCCGAGGGGCGGGGCCAGGCCCACGCTGCACTGCGGGGAGGCAGAGAAAGCAGGCTGCCTAGTCGGTCTTGTGTGAGTCACAGGGGAGGGGACTGCAGTGCCAGTTATCTCATTAGGAGATCAACGAAGCAGAAGGCCCGGGGTGGGATCACCCGGAGGGTTATATAAACAATGGTGGAAAGCACAGAGGCCCGAATCTCTCATCTCCATCACGGTCAAAGTAGGGAAGACAGGTGCTGTGGAAGGTTGATGAGAGGGGCCACTGGACTCATTCCCCTCCACTCCTCTTGGTTGCAGGTCAACAGAGACCCTTAAAGGCCCAGCCAGTGAGGGCTAAAATCCCTGTGCCTTCCCCTAACCCCAACTCAGAAATTTGCTCTGACCTCATTCTGCCCCTTGGTCCTGTGGACTCTGTCCCCTGGCTCTTGCTTATCCTGGAACCACTGCCCAGCACCCCCGGTTTCCCTGTTCATCCTGTCCCCTCCAACCTGCCTTTGGGCAATTCTCAGCTCAGCAGGAGGCACCCAGCTGCAGGCTGCACCCTGGCATCCCTGCCTGGTTGCTGCCCCAAGGAGGATGTACAAGAAAGGGGTGAAGAGAAGTGTCAGAAAAGGCCCCAGACCCCTAGTACAACCCTCCCACCCAAAACCTCCACCTCTCCCCTGAGATTCTGCCATCTCTGGGACAAGGCCACCCAGCTGGACTGGGCTGCAACTTAGGGGGTGGACAGCCAAGACTTCTTGGGGCTCTGGCTCAGCCTTGAGGAACAGGCCCCTCCTAGG